AAAAACATAATAATGTATACTAATCCAGTTCCTACTAACGACATTCAGCGACTTATGATCAACTGCAGTGTACTTTTATGTTAAACTCAGTCAGGTAAAACAACTTCATAGAAGAAAATAATTGAGACGTTCATCAACCTCTCCAATTCATAAAGCTCACGCTAGAGGCAATAGTCCGAGAGCTTGTCTTCACCGCAGAACTATTAAATTCATGCAAAATAACAACACTCCATAAGTATCAATATCCAGACAAGGGGAAGTTTAATCAATCAATGTCATCCATTTTCTTTTCATTTTTGCCTTGGGGAGGCGGGCGGAGGGGAGGCGGGGTAGGTTCATTTACGATTTTTTTCCTTATTCTCCAATGATCGAGAGCATATGGACAAGCAACTGAGAAAGTACGTAACCCCATAATTTCCTTATAGTTAAATACAATCTACTCACTGTCTTCCACGGGATGACAAGTGAGTAGGCTACAGTATACTATTGACCAAATATTACAGCCTGTTATGACCTTGAAATAAACTTAAGAACTAGAAATTTCTTGGAAATTCCGGTCAGAGAGGGATCGAAGTAACATTGAACAATAACTGAAGTCTGTCAGCCTATGTTGAACTCTAACGGCATGCATTCAGATTTTTAACATTCAGATTTTTCTAGAGATATGTTATATATATTGTAGAATAAAGCCAGAAGAAGTTTCTGACAGACTAATTATTTTTAACATTCATAAACAAGCCGCACTGAATTATAAACTCAACAAATTTTAGGTGTATAAAAACAAAAACCAAGACATTCCCCTCTACACAGCAAACAAGCACAAACATTGAAAAAGCTGCAGCATAAACAAAACACTTATCGATCAGAATACATGTAAAAGTAATGCAGCCAAGGCGCAATATTCATATTCAAGCTGCACGCAAAGTCAGAAGCAACATTATTTTCCATCGATTCAATAGTTTAACCCTTCGAAAAAAAAAAAAAAAAAAAACCACTAAAATTACAACAAAAAACGACCTTTTTACCCCCCAAGAATTAACCTGCCATCGGGTGGTTCGCAATGTACTCGATCGCAAGCGCAGTCGAATCAATCTTATCCGCCTCTTTATCCGGGATCTCGAGCTTGAACTCCTCCTCCAAAGCCATCACAATCTCCACATTGTCCAAGCTGTCCAGCCCCAGATCCTTCTGAAAGTGGACCTCAGGCGTCACCTAAAACAAACAGATTAGGGCTAGGGTTTTGAAGCTTGGATCATGAGTTTTTTCTTTCTTTCTTTTTTTGGAAATTAGGGTTAGGGTTTTGGTACCTTTGAGGGATCGACCTTGGGGAAGCTCTTGACGACGTCGAGGACACGATCGATGACCTCGTCCTTCGTGAGGTGGTCGTCGTGGGAGGAGAAGGACCGGAGCAAGGGGATTTGGCGGGAATTTTTCAGGTTTAGGGTTTGGAATTGGACTCGGATGTGGCAGGAGGATTGATTGTCTGACTGCGGCCGCTTGATCTGCTGCTCGCCACTGGGAGAGGTGGCTGCTGACCGAGGGTGAGAAGCGAAATTATGGAGAAAAGGGAGTAAATTACCAAAACAACCATGAACGTTTGGATTTTTGCACAAATTCACGGAGTGGGGGTAATTGCACATTAGTTCCTTGGACAAATTTTCAAAACCAACCCCTTTCACTATTTAATTGCAAAAAATGATCTCTTTTCATTTTATTTAGAAAAACCGACCTGGTTTCAGCGCTGTCGCTGAAACCAGATCGGTTTTTCAAAAAAAAATTACGAAATTTCACCGGAGTTCAACTCCGCGTGAAGTTTAGTACGCTTTTATACTCACGGGACGTTGACCTCGACAACGCTCCCGAGTGAAGATTATTTTGGTAAATAAACTCCAGCGGGAGTTAACTCGCCGTGGAGTTGCAGGCTAAATCCCAGAGCGAATGCGCTCGCTGGGCATTGGGCATGCAGCTCACAGGATTTCCACAACGTCCCGTGAAGCATGCAGGCAAATTGCCCAGCGAGCGACTTCGCTGGGGATTCTGGCCTGACAACTCCACGTGAGTTGAACTCCCGTGGGTTTCGGCCTATATATACGCACGCGACAGCAGCCTCTGCCGATCTCATTTCTCTCTCCCCGCAACCGCCCCAAACCCTATCTCTAACTTTCTCTCTCGTCCCAACCGCCGCCGTCCACATCAAAACCGACCGCCTCCCCCCAATTCCGACCGCCGGAACCCGACTCCAACCGTCGGAACCCCATTCCGACCGCCAGCACCTCATTCCGACCGCCGGAACCGCCGTCGTTGCCGGATTTCGACAGATTGAGAGTAAATCCCTCCCAAAATTATTTATTCTCTTAATTTCTTCTATTTTCTCGCTATTTCATGGTGATTACATGTAAAAAATTATATTTTAGAATTTAATTGTGAATTAATTATGAATTATGTGAAGAAACTTAAATAATTTTGTCGATTTAGAGGGTAAATTATCAATAATGTAAAAAATAGTGTTACTAAATATGTATGACATCTAATTGATTTTAAAAAATAGTGTTATCAATAATTTTGTCGATTTTAGAATTTCATTGTGAATAATTTATGAAATTTGCTCAGAAAAATAACATAATTTTGTGAATTTTGTGGATTTGGCGGTGAAATTATAAAAAAAAATCTAAAAATTAGTGTTATATAACATCAATTAGATTTGAGAATTTAATTGTGAATTATTTATTAATTATGTGAAGAAAACTTAAATAATTTTGTCGATTTAGAGGGTAAATTATCAATAATGTAAAAAAAGTGTTACTACATATGTATGACATCGGTATATGAATTTGGAAAAAATTATGGTTCCCTAAAATTGATATAGGATTTAATTGTAAGTAACAAATAAATTTTAAAGTCTTTTCGTGTAATATTGATCTTGAATGTTTTACTCTTCAGAGGTAATAATGAACGATCGAATCGTAATTTTGTGTTCGTATGATGGGAAGATTAACTACCTCGAAAATAATATGCCCGTTTATGGAGGAGGTGTGATGAGACCATTGTTTATAACAAAATCGTGTACTTTCGATGAGTTGGTTAATGAATTGCACAAACTTACATTAACCAACTCCCGTGAGTACCACATTAATGTTATTTGTAATTATCCTGTTATGGAGAACAGGATAAGCTGCATTCAAATATCAAGTGACTACGATATGAGTCTCATTGGAGTCTTACATGACGAGAAGCGTTCGATCGAATTGTTCATTGAAAAACATCAAAGGAATTTGGGCAAATCGTTGAATTATGAGGGAATGTATTCCCGCATGTTGGAGGACCCTGATGTTGATTCCGTTGGCTTTTTATCTACTCAACAAGATGAAGGTTGGACACAATCACAATATATAAGCGGTCCTTCGTTTGTTGGCACTTCGAATGCGTGTTTAAATCATATATATATTGTAGTAATTATTGTCAACAGGTAATAGTTGTATATATGAGTTAAATAGGTAGACATATACAAAACATGCACAGCAGCCTGTGCATGTTTTGTAAAACCTGCAACTTCACGGGAGTTCAACTCCCGTGAAGTTGCAGTCTAAATTTCCCAGAGAGCGATTCTCTGGGAAATTTAGCCTGTAACTCCACGGGAGTTCAACTCCCGTGGAGTTTTAAACGCTGCAACAAACTCCACGGGAGTTGAACTCCCGTGGAGTTTATTCACCAAAATAATCTTCACGGGAGTTCAACTCCCGTGAAGTTTAAAAGCGTACTAAACTTCACGGAAGTTGAACTCCCGTGAAGTTTCGTAAATTTTTTTTAAAAAATCGACCTGGTTTCAGCGACAGCGCTGAAACCAGGTCGGTTTTTCTAAATAAAATGAAAAGAGGTCGTTTTTTGCAATTAAATAGTGAAAGGGGTTGGTTTTGAAAATTTGTCCTTAGTTCCTTACATCATCTTCAACTGCAAAACGATCCCTCAAATCTCATTATTCGCTTCTTAGTCCCTTGAATCTACAGTTTTCTTGGCAATCCGTCCCTCTTGTTAGGTGCTGTTACTAATGAGTGTTAAATGTAACTGAATTAGGTGGGTTACCCATTATATGCTCTGACGTAACAATTGTATCAAGTATAACCTCACCCATCCATTTTATAACGGGTTTAGAACCGAAACTCATTCCCTTCGAAGCCAAAACCTATTCTCTTTCAAATGACTCGTTACTTCCAAAACCCAAAACTTTGGTAATTTCAAAGTCGAGCTTCCCTCTAAATGGTATACAATCTTCAAACTTTTAAGGGGTAATACTCAAGGATATTCATGGGCAATAAGGTAACTTGAGATGTTGGTTTAATGCTTAACTAGTGTAAGAGGACTTAACAGATTTTCTAATGGAAGGACCATATTGCAAGAAAACTAAATATTTAAAAGACCAATAAGCAAATAATGAGATTTGACGAACTATTTGACAATTAAGAATGATTTATGGGACTAATATGCAACTAACCCTTACAGAGTTGAATAGCTCTGAATTGGAGGGAGTAATTTCAGAATAATTTAAGAGTTGGGGCACCAATAACAATTTCAAAAATATAAGGGAGCAATAGAGAAATGAAAGGTTTGAAAGGGGTTTACAGGCATAAACCCTAGCACCCGTTACGAAGGAAACATACGCCCCGACCCCTGCAGTTCATCGTTCTCGTCGCATTTTGCTGCTAAAATCTTAAGTAGGGTTAGGGTTTTCGATTTCTCTGCATCAGTGGAGATGTTGGGATCAGAAGGAGAGCTTTCCTAAGGCTACAAAGCTGTCCGAAGGGTAATGATCCTTGTCTCTTTGGTGCAATCTCTAAACCCTAAATCCTTTTTCAAAAGGAAATTTAAATTTTGGTCCCTTTTTGTTTCGGATTAGCGCGTGGGGGAGTATAGGTTGCCTCCCCGTTCCCATCGATGTCACCGCTGCAATTGTGAAAATTTAACAAAATGATCCCTTCTTCAGGTAAAAGTCAATAACTTGTCATGAAATTTTGTATAATAGAAATTAGAAAAGTGAGGTATTTAGCTGAAAAAAGAGGAAATTTAGATTGAATAAGGCGTTTATTTTTAGCATTGTTTGATTTTAGCTGTAGAATGGGACTTTTAAATTTGTTATTTTATAAAACCCGATTTTGAATTGTTGTGTTATGTTCTGTTTAATTGTGCATAGAAGGGACTCCTTGTGATGCTCCGAACTTGGAGGAGTTGCTAGCGATGTCGTACTCTATGGCTATAATGAGGTGTGTTTGAATTTACACTGTAGAAGTTTATAAATGTTGAATATTTTTTTTCAAACATCACATGGGCTGCTGCAGCAGCCCATGCTTTCTTTATTTTTTCAAAAGTTGTGGGCCTACCGAAGAAAATTTAAGACGTGAGCCCCACATGCATAGTAAAATATTATTATCTTATTAGTGCATAATGTTTTTCCAAACGTTAAAATAGACCCCAAATCCTTAAGGAAAATTTATTCCAAAAAACAACAATCAATATATACAAATATATATTGTAGAATAGCTAGTGCTCGTAGGAACAGTGCCTAGACCGAGAAGGTCTTATAGATCGAGGAGATTTTTGCCTGATAGATCGAGGAGATCTTGACAGTACTGGATCGGTGCACACCAGAGTACTGGATTGCTGTTCCTGGAAGCAATTTGGCATTGGGATCCTTGCACCGAAGTAGGCCAAATAATGCTTTAAGCACAGCGTTTTACAAACGCACAACAGCTGAGTTAAAAATTTTAAATTACTGCACTTTAGTTTTTTGTTCAGTTTTTGCTATTATATATCTGTATTATTCCAAATTTAACCACAGGCGTCAACAATCTTAAAACATTATTTTGATCTACCATGGATCCTGCGAGGATTCTTGGAGTGGACTGTCTAAGTTAGAGAACTTTGACGGTTTCAACTTCAATGCATGGCGTCGGAAATTAATCTTCGGGATGTAACTCCTGAAAATCTACTATGTGATTTCTGAGGAAAAACCCGACTCTGAAGAAGACTCTGAAGCTGAAGTCTCTTGGGGCTAGAGATGATCACTTCTGCAGGAGTTATCTTCTTAACTGCCTGGCCGATCATCTAGCAGATGGTTACACCAACAAGCCCTCTGCAAAAAAAAATCTAGAATGCTCTGGAGGACCAGTACAAGGATGAGGAGAAGCTGTCCAAATCTCACATCATTGACAAATTTCTGGACTTTTTGAAGTTTGAAGATGATACTGAGGTTTTACCTCAAGTCAAAGAGCTTGAAAAGCTTGTTATGAAGCTGAAGGATGGAAAGATTAGTCATGCAATATGCTGGAGAGTGAGGTGGCAGCGGTGGTCATGCAATGTGCTAGAGAATGAGGTAGCGGCGTGAGTAGAACGCTGGAGTTCTAGCGCCCATCGGCGTTGCAGCCGAGTTGAGGACCTAGACGTCGGCAATAGCGGCGGTGATAGCATGAAGAAGATTTCATATAAAAGAACACTAAATAATTTTAAAACTGTAATTATCGATCTACATTATAACAATTAGATTCTAAAATTTCATATAAAAGCACTTCTATATGACAAATAAATTTCATATAAAAGAAACTTTATTGACAAATAGAAGTCTCAGAGCAAAAACTACATTATAACAATTCACTCTAATGAGTCAAAAGACCCTTTTTACATAAGCATAATAGCATGATTAGTAGAACTTAACTTTCAGCATCACTCTAAAAGACTCTTCGCCTGTTCCAAAGCTCCAAGGTTTGGATAAAGCTATCTAATTTTCATCTGAAAAAAATTTAAAAACAACAGGGTGAGTTTACATTTAGTGAGCAGATAACTTATCATTAGCGGATCAGACAAGTTTAAGAAATTATCGATTCTAAAATTCAAATAAGTTATTGTCAAAAAAAATTGATTGAGAAACACATAATATTTCGAATAAGAGGAATTTTCAAAAATAGCATGTGACATTGTCATGAAGAATATTCACAAATTTAAGAAACAATACGAATGAACACTAAATACTTTTAAAACTATAATTATCGATCTAAATTCACACTTGTAAAACTTGCTCAGTTGTTACACTAAGACTACGAAAATTATAGCCCAGTAGCATGAGAATGCGCATCGAATCACTATAGGTCAACTCGGGAATAGAATGTACCTAGCACTACCATAGGTTGCCCGAAGGCCACTTCACTTTTGCCAAAAAGACCACTTTTAACACTGGTCGGTACATTCAATATCATATGATAGGTGTTAACTAATCACTTCACTCCATTGTGGACTTCTGAGGATTTTTAACATGTAGAACACTTTTCTTTTTGCTCAAAGTATCGCTCACAATTTTCACTTGTACGAAAAGCTATATAAATGCTTAAAACACTTTTACAAACTTTTTTCATATCAATTTCATGAAAATAGAATATTCATGAATCTAAACGAATAATTAATTTTTTTTGTCAAATAGAACTCTCCAAATAATGCATTTGAATAGTTAATTTGAAATGATATATTTTAATAATCTCATATACTAAACAATATTAATCTTGTAAAAGATAAATAGCTATCACATTCAAATTTGTTAACAATTACTATAAGTGAACAGAATAACATATTTGATCCATAATTTCTCTACACAAAAATAAATTTATTATTTAAATAATATATAATAGAAAATTACCAATAAGAAGAAAAATCTACCTACCTTCAGAAAATCTAACAATTTGGAGAACCGTACTTTAAGAATTTACTCAATCAAACCTATAAGCATCTAAGTATATAAATTTCTAATACTAAAGATTCCGTACTCAAACTATTTTTGGGTATAAAACTAATATTTCTAGTCTTTTAGGGGGTTTTTAGAAAATTTTCCCTTTTATTTAGGCTGGAAACAAAAGTTTTGGACAAAACTGTAAACTTTTCTATGCTAAAGGGCTAAAAGATACTTTTCTATCAAATTAGTTTTTGACAGGGACATGCTTGGACTTAAAAGTAAATTTTTATAAACTAAGTGTTTATACGCAGAAATTCCATTTCTTCTTCATCATCTTTCTGTGCTTTGATGTTCCAGAACCCATCACCTTGAATTGGGTTCGGTGGCTAGGGTGTGAACCGCCGACAAAGATCCGGTCCAAGAATTGGCCGGAGATCACCGAACATTGCCGAAGGTGATGCCAGTGGCCAGAAAAGGTACTATTTTCTTTTTCTTCTACAAGAATTCGTAACTAAAAATAAAACACTTACCTTGTTGAAGTTTTCCTCCTTAATTTCTCTCTCTGACTTCTTCCAGAGCTTTTTCTTTCTTTTTTTGTTTGTGTGCATGAAGCTATGAGGGATTGATTTACTTAGGGTTTTCAAAGTCGCTTTGCATTCTATAACTCCTATCACATTTATTCATATTTAACACATTAAATTACCCAATTGAAACATGGGTTAGAGCTAGAGTTACAAAACCTATGATTTTCTTTTTCATTTCTCAAATGATTAAAAAAACGGTTCTCTACATAGATGATCATTTAATTCCGCATCCATTTTTTTAGGATTACTTTTGGTAGTTGGCAATGGAGTGACATTTGTCATATATTCGGTATTGGTTGTGGCAAAATTATTTCCTATATTTCTAGATCAGAAAACGTATTAAAACTTGCTAATATGCTGATCTTAGATCATGTATGAGAAAAAGATTTGTTTATAATTGATTTTAGAATGTTGCAGACGAGTTTGATGTATTAGTAGCTTAGCTTAAATGCTTAATGATGGTAGGTTGCCTATAAGGCATTCACTTGTTGATGTAACTTCTACATATAGGAACCTATTCATTTTTCATACAAGTCTATAGTTAAGGAAGCGAAAGATAGTTGAAATATTGTGCACCGTTTAGGATCTAATTGAAAGGACTCTCCAAGCATCCTATGACCTTTTGAAGCCTTTAGACAGAAGTAAAATTTTGAATTTTTGACAAAAAAATTATGCCTCCTAATTAAGGGTTTATTTGGTCCGGATACAGCTTGGATATGATACTTACCATATCTATATCCTCTTATCCATCTCGGAGACAGATATGTCTCGGTAAGGAAAATTCATATCCATATATGCTAAAATCGGATATGGGTGTAGATATACATGTGAATACATAAATGGATATGCATGCGGATACAAAACAGATACGAGAAAACTAGATAGTATTAAAAAAATAGTTCATGTGATACAAAAGAATTCGTTAATATGTTCATTATATCTGGAAAGCTAAGATTAGACATATTGATTATCAAAATTAACCTCAAATCCATAATCTAATGATTAGAACTATCGTAATAGAATGACTAATATGTATTCGGATATTTTGGATACGGAACCGGATATTTCACTATAAAACCATTTCCATAATCATATCCTATCGGCTATAGATTTCGGGTGCAACATGAAATTTATAGGAAGAAGCCCATGAGATTACATTCCCGGTGGAATGTGGTTGCGACATATGTCCAGTTTTGTAAATAATTTCTGAATATTATGCTGGAAATAATGCATTGCTTAGAACTGATCCAACTTTATCTGTTAATATACTACATCTTCCTCTCTAAAACCTAGAACCTCCAAAAGAAAAGTGAAAATCTTGATAGTCTCATAACGAGGCACTAAATTAATGTTGCTTTGTACAATTGCATACATTCTTCAATAAATGACTTTATAGACTATTCATGTTGTTTACTGTCTATGATCAACACTGCACTGTTCATACATTTTGAAGAAACTGTACCAAACGCTGCTCGAATGATTTATGGTTTCTGTATCATAGACACCTTTGAAGATGTCTAATCTCTTTTTTTTAATGGTCTGAATCATCTAAAAACTGTGTACCCTAACAATGGTGGAATATGAATCTTGGTTGGTTCCAAGTAGTAACTAATACATGTATAAACAAACTCATTTGTTTCATGCATATAGATAGTATTACACTGAGCATGAAGAGAGTTGTATTGACAAAGTATTTTTTTAATGCTTTTAGCATATAATTGAATTGATACTTGTTTGATATTGCAAATACTAGGACCTTCTTTACAATGAAGTTTTCAAGCAAGATGATGAGACCATATGTTTCTGTTCAAGATTTGTTTTGAGCAGAGAAAACAGTATTATATGTGCCCATTATGACAAGCAAAATAATTCTTTACTCTGTTATCACACCTGATAACTTTGTCATGCAAAATGTATGCTGCAGAAGAGCAGCAACTTCTCATCCCAATCCCCAGCTCCTACCGTTCGGTGTCTCCCCCCTCCCACCTCCACCGCTGCCACCTCTACCACAAGGTCCACAACTGATTACTGTCACACGCGCACTCACACTATGTCTGCTTCCTTTTAACAGTTCAATGCGGGTGAGCCCATTTCCATCTTCCTCCGCCTATGATTCTCTTTGTATCATTTCTGAACCTCGGACCCCTCATTTTCCTCTTTGGCTTAAGCACCATGTTGCTGCCACCACATCAATCTGCCGCCACCAGCTCATTCTATCATCAGTGATATTATCTGTTCTCTTCCCTTCACCTCCTCTAAGCTCTCTTCCAAGTGACCACCGAATGCTAATGCTTGCCCCCTTATTGCTTATGTCATCATTCATCATTCTCCTAATTTCAGCTCACCCAGCTGTTCTCCCCTCTACTAAAAGTTTTCAGACCATCCTTGGTGGTCAAGCAATAATAACATAATTATAATAGTTTCATATTAGAATTTGCAGGACATAAAGCAATTTTCTAGATCCTTGTCATATCATAGCGTGAATCTGAAAGGATGAAAATTTGACCAATTGCCGCTTTGACTAGAAGCTAATTGGTTAGAGAGGCTGAGCTGGATAATTTGTTTAGGGAGGTATACATCCTCAGATTTCCTTTCAGTTGTTTCTGTTATGCTTGGCGTCCTATAATGAACCTGGTTTCATACCATATGGAACACATTTTGTGTGCTTTATCTTTTTTTATTGCTTACTATAGTCCATTAAAAACCTTCATGCACAGTGACATGGATGTATTTTTGGATAAGTTTCATTATTTTCCCTCCATTAATGGTGTTCTTGCTTTTACTAGTTGCTATATATCTCATTTCATATTAAAGACTCATTGAAGATTATTTCTTTCTTATTTTGTTTTTGATTGATTTGAATAACGATCTTAAACATCTTCAAGCTGGAAGCTGAAAGACTTTTGGTGCATATGAAGTATTGTGTCACATTTTATTATGGTTAAAATTAAAAATTCAGTTGCATGTTGTTTTGACTTTGAGCCCTGTGGGTGAATTTTCTGTTTATAAATAGATTATTTCGGGAAAAGAACTTGGAACTGATTCAAATCAATGGATTAAGTCTCGAGTGGAATATTGGCATGATATCTTCACGAGATTTCAGGATGCACTTTCTACCCACTTAGTATCAGATCAAATTAATTGCTACAGAAGCACACCTTTCACTTAGTGATAGTTAATACTGCTCCATCTAGTTTCTTTACCTCTCTGTTGTGTAGCACATGATAAATGCTTCAGTGAATTTTTTTTAGTCAAATTTTCTCTATATTTATAGATTCTTGTGGATATTTCTTTCTTTGTTCGTCATTGATATCTGTAACATAATATTCTTGCATTGTTTTTAGGCTTTAGACTGGTTAAAATTCAATTATTGGGAGCCTCAAAGAAGTGTAATTCTTGACGTTCGGAAGGAAGTAAGATTGAGACTACATGAGATGAGTTTTTATCTGAAAAATAAGCATGCAGAAAGATCTAGTTCTTCACAAGGCAAGCCAAAACGTGACTGTAGACTCTTGTTTAAGAAGTACTCTGCTTCAGGAAGCATTTAATCATCAAGTTTCATTGTTCGACTAGTTCATTATATTTAGGTCTATATTGTTATTTTGCTGTTTGTTATGAATGCATACCATTTACATAATTTATGCCTATAGTGGAAAAATATGCTTCGAGATTGAAAGAGGGTTTACACTTAAGAACAATGTTTTAAATTTGATTAATGATCTCATATCTTTTCTTGCTAGTATATGCAAAAGGGCTTGTAATATCACCCTCTACAGGCACTGGAACCGAGATTCATTTTCTAAAGGGAAAATACTATGGATCACAATGTATAGGTACTCGCTTAGACCCCTGTTGGAAATTAGTGACTTGGGTTGTTATAGTCTCAAAGCAGGTTGATTAACTTGATTTACATAAAATTTCTCTCAAGGGGGTTAGTTTAATCTTCTCAATTCTGTATCTACGTTTATTTGAAAGAGAAAAATCCTATAATAAAGTTGGAACTTTATAAGATGTACATATTTATATCTGAAACTTCACAAGCATTTAACAGCACAAAAATCCTAGTGATACCCTATCTAATAATGTTGCCCCTAGAATCACATGATTCCTATCTTCAACTAACCAGACAGCAAATTAAAGTTGGGAAAATCTGTCCTGAAGCACAGTAGGCGTCAAATTGTACTAGAAGCAAAATAAGAAAAGAAATGTTAAAGAATATCTAACCTGCTACATTTTATCATAGTTCTAGAAAGAAAATGTGTAAAAGCTACTGGATTTCATAATAGATCATTCAGACTACTCTATATTCATGGTTCCTTTTGTTAGTTTTTTTTAGGAGTTTCACTTTAATTTTTTTACTATATCAGAATTTAACGGCTGCTCAAGTGCTTGGTTTTCATGTTAACTTTATGTTAATCTTGTGTTTTGATTTTCCATTATTTGCGTGTTTGCAGGGTTTAAGCTGCCAGGAGTACTAATGAGATGCGAAAAACTATCTTCACAGATTGTTGGGAAACTGGAGGCTTTAAAATCTGATGGTACTCCAATCTTTTGACCATATCTATCTATTAGAAAACAATATTATTCTAGAGTATCTGACTTGGGACGCCCATAATTTTTCTTCAAGCATTCAGATGGCATTATCGCTGTGAATCAGGACGTTTGATTCAGTTTCTGCAAAGCCATAGAAGGATTTCTTTGTCCAAACTCTAGTTGTGATCATGTTTCAGGATGTTAAAATCTTTACTCACTGATTTTTTTTTTGGAATTGAGTGCACAACACTTTCCCTAACAAGGAGACTGTTATAAGTCATGATAACTCAATCCTTTCATTCTTTTTTTCTCGTGGAGAAGTGAACTTCTCCAGTAACATGTTTGCAATATTAAGCTTTTCTGTCCAGATTAGCAAATAGGGCCAGTCCTGCGATTGAGGCTGCAATGCATCTTATTTAAGGGGGTGGAGTCATGGATGGAGTCATGATGCCATCTAGATTGGCTACCAGAAATGTGTCATATTAAATTTTGTAGCAATTTTGATTTCCTTAGATTGGATTATCTTAGATAAGATGAATTAAATACTAATTTCATAACAGGATGTTTAAATTGTACTTGGTGCATGATTCGCTGTTTCGTCATTTGCACCGAAGAAATGAATATGAGAGACTGCTATGACACCTTTAACTCACTCTTTGAAGCTTTACTTTCATATCAAACTACATAAATATCTACTAGCAGGCTACTTTTCATTACTTAGTCGATAAACTTAATACCATTGTCTTTTTATGCTATATTTGTAACCAGTGTTCTAACATTTCTTGTTCACTGTTGACATCTTGATAAGCTTAAAAATATATTCGCAGTTTCTTTTCCATATTTACATTGAAAGAAGCCTGAGTAAGTATCCTTGGTGTGGATGTTGATGGACTATTTTTTTGTGCAGTCTCATACAAACGGCTTTCCAAGATAACAAAAAGAATCGCGCGGCTATACTTTCATATCCCTCAGAAGTGGTGGCAGTGCTTCTGGAGTATTTTCATTTGCAAGAGCCTGATTTCTCAACAGGCACAGACATGAATGCTCTGATGACTCGGATGTGGATGATTCAGGACCCCATTTAGACGAAATGTTCGGTTTAAAGACAATAATTACCAAACTATCAAGCTAGACACCTGGGTTAATACTCAGCATACTGAAGACACTCCTAGAAATGATAGAAGTCAAGGAACCCACTCAATCTGAGAAAGGTATTTATACCAATAATTCCCTCTTGAGCTTACTTGATGAGTCTCTTGGTCTTGTTACTCAATTATATCCCACATAAGTTTTAGTTAACCATGCCATTTTCCTACTAAAATTTAGTGTAACCTGTTTAGAATTTCATGTTTTTTGCAACTAGTCAATAATTACTGCTTTCAAGTTTCATGCAACCTGTTCTTTTCACCGAGCTACCTACTTTTCTCTTTGAGACCCTATTCAGTCCTTCAGATCTTTCTTCCAAAACATTTCTTCAAACTTCTTTGACCGTAGCAGGTTTTACATTGAGAAAAATAAAACCCGACACAAACTACTTCTTTTGTTACTCCTATTCTGAGTTTTTCCCCCTTTTAACTTTCTAGTCAACCAAATAAAGTCATAATTTTATCTGTTGGAAATCTATAACTACGCGAAGTGGCTAATTTTGAGTACTTCATTTTTTCAGATGGATGCCATTTTCTTTCGTCAAAGCACCAGAGCAAGGTAACTGACACCAATCGTCTCTGTTCTCTTGTTCACTGGCTTCTCACGAGACTGAAGTCTTTAAATTCAGGTAGAATAGGAATCATTGCCAAATCCCTCGAAACCTCAATAGACAAAAATGCTCCTCCAAATGTTTCGCTCACAAAACTGCTTCACAAGATCCTCTCTATCAATCATGGGTGACAATCACCTCTCAAGCTCAGTAATGCTTCTTGCTCGAATGATTGGCGACACTTCTTTAACTTTAAAACTAAAGAAGCTCCCTTTGATGGCAACACAGCACCAAGATTTTGAAGATGAATCTCCCTTTGAAAGTACCGAGAAAATGCTTTTACAAGAAGAAGCATGTATTAAAGAAGCAAAAGAGATGCTGGAGCTTTTCAAGTCAGAATTAAGGAACCAAGATGCTACAAATTCAACAAAATCAAATCCAAGTGATGGAATTTGGAGCGTCGCTAAATCTTGGACTCCATGTCCAATTGGCATGTTACCTTGTTCATTTAGTTCTGCTGCAGTTCTTCCTGTTGTTGATGAGGTTGTTGATATCTCAGTCACCGAAGACATTGAAACAGATACGGGTAATTTTGTGAGTGATCGTGTTTCTTCGAAGAGGGTATCGGGTGAAATTGCTGTTGAGAATGAAAGTGGCAGTAAAAGGTTAAACGAGGGAAGAATGAGAACTGGAGTTTGCGGATATATCATCTCCTATGGAAGGTAGATTGTTGATCAATGGCATTTGGACGAAAGTTAGTGAAGAAGAGTTGCTTGATGTTGAGTCCAATATTGGAATTTTTGCCAGTTGACTGTAAGATTATACTGTAACTTATATAATTATTTTTCTATACAGATATCTATTTATTTTTTATTTGGAAAGCTCTGGCTGTTGTGCCAGTTGGGTTCTGTTCAAGACTGTCTGTCGGTCTCAAGGACCGTAAGTTGGTTCAGTTTTGCATTGCGCATTTCAATTGCACTTTGTACATGGCTTTGTGACCCATTCATTCATGTAATTCTTTCTTTTTGTCTAAGGACTTGAAGGCAGAGAGCAGGGTTGAGCCAAGGTGGGGACGTGGATCAGAAATGACAACTGAGCTCGCAAAATCTCTTGCAAACAATAGTAATTGACTGTCCGAAGCAGCTGAGGAGATGGCGGTGCTGGTTGGCGTGAACAGAGTAGAGTGGTGCATGATAACGACACTGTTTCAAGCCATATGGAGGAGGTCGAACAGCAGCGGTTTTGGCTATTGTGTTATTATTTTTATTTGGGCAACGTTCTTTGTCTGAGCTTAAGCTTTATTACTCTCGCCCGATTACGGAGGCCGGCCGAACTGGGAGTTTTTACTGCTAGGAGAGAGAGGATCGACTGCGTCAAAGCGATAGATGAGTTCTCAATCTTCTAAAACAGTGAAATCACGACTGCTCCCATTCAGGCCTTATTTTCTAACTTTTTATTTTCGGATTATATACTAATATTCTCTTTTTTTTAAAGGATATACTAATATTCTCTTTTTTGACAGCAACAAGAACATCAGATGATCTAGCTATTCTAAAAAGGAGATTTTGTTCCCATCATACTAAGCACTATATATATCAAATACCAACACGAAGTAATTCGAAGAGAATAAAAGTCCAGCAAAAACAATCATGATGCTATATACTGTACATACGCTGTACACTGCTTAAGCCATCTACATGCACATAGGTACTCTCACTCTGCCAATCAATTTACAGCTAGAAAGAATCATCAAACTTTTCACTCTGTACAGTGTAATTCAATTCAATATTGAGTTTGCTAAGGAATTACTCTCCACTTATAATGAGAGAGTGATGAGGTACTCTTTTTATATCGATGATGGTGGAAAACTCATTGTTGATGGCCTGTTTCCATGGCTCACCATCCATTTGCATGTACGCATTTTTCCACTCCCCGCCTCTGATCTCTAACCTAATTGCAGCAGCCTGAGCGACACCAGAGGATGAAAACATGAAATTTGAGGTTCTATAACAACCGTCAAATAGATAAGAGTGTTTCAAAGAAACTCATGCAAAAGTCAAGATTAGCAAGAGTTGATTGAGCAAGGGTACATGATATTTATTGACAGTTCATGTGAGAAATAAAGGGCCAATTCAATAGCACAGCTTCCAGAGGATAAAAATTGCCAGAAATGTTAGAGCTTATGCCAAAGTATATGTGCATGCAAATTCACATGCAACATTCTGTTTATTGTTAATCTTTGTAAAAGAATTAGCATTCTAAACATCATAGATAAAGAAAATCAGAGCATAATGTATGCTGTTATCAGTTTAGGTTTGAGCTCAACCCAAGACTAATTCATAAAATTAAAGTTTGAATTGTTTAAACAAGTTTCAGTTGTTTCCTGAAAACCACAGCTACCTACTCAAAGCTTTTGTTCAATTCAATAGATTCTTTTAGGACCCATCATACCTGGAGTTTCAATAATTTAATTACTCACAGTTATGAGCCACTTGAAGTTAATATGAAGTAAACAAGAGTAGCGAACATTATAATTACCAGAAAATTTTGTCAAAGAAATGTACTAACACACAGGAAAATTATAGGTGGTGTGAACAGCTTATATTTTAGAAAGGCAATCGCTGTCAAATTTCATTTGGATCCTTACTGTTTGGAAGTCATCAGTGAGGGGTCTTTAAGGTCATTGTTAGGATATGTGAAGCCTAACTATCAGACATGCCCTATGCTTCAGAAGAGAGGAGGAACAAAGTTGGAACAGGAGGAACATGATCGACGACGACGAAGTTCAAGCAAAACGACGAAGGAGACAGTTTTCTGCATCGCGGTCGACCGGCAATGGCGCGGCGGTCGACCGACGTCGTGCACAGCTGGGTGCACAGGCTAGGAGCTCATCGCGGTCGACCGAGCATGGCGCTGCGGTCGACCGGCAAAAGTCCAGAGAGCAAGCCCAGACTGCGGACAGCATCACGGTCGACCGCACATGGCGCTGCGGTCGACCGCCCAAAGTCCAGAGAGCTCGATCAGGAATAGGATTCGTCGCGGTCGACCGCACGTGGTGCGGCGGTCGACCGGAGTCGGGTTTTGGCCCAGTTTCGAATTTTAACCTGTTTTGATCTGTTTCCTGTTTTAGCTGTTAAACCCTTAAGTCTATAAAAGGGTTGATTAGGGCATGATGTATTAAGACGAAAATTAGTGAATTTTTCTCCTGCGGCGGCCGTGGACGTAGTTTCTCACATTGAGAAGCGAACCACGTAAATCTTGTGTGTTTGAGATTGTTTGATTTTCTCTCTTCTCTCCTAAATCTCTATTTTCAAATCGCATCAGGGGGGTTGTGCATCCCCAACAAGTGGTATCAGAGCGACCAGGTTCGGCGCGAGCGATTTGAGGTCAGAGACAATGGGATCTGAGAAGGAAACATCCAAGATTGAGAAGTTTGATGGAATCTCAGATCCATTAAACTCGTTCAATATTCAGTTTGACGATGAAATCCAAGCCCTCTTGATACTTGGTCAATTGCCCGACAGTTGGAAGGGTACCGTTATCTCGATCAGCGGATCATGTGGCAAATCAAAGCTGAAGTTTTCAGAGGTGGTGGACATGATTATGACTGAGGAAATAAGAAGACAAGAGGAAGGGATTTCTAATTCAGGGTCGGCGTTGAACCTTGAGGGCAGAGGAAGAAACAGAAACAGAAATAGAGGGAATAGCCGAGGAAGATCTAACTCGAGGAACGGAAGGCCAAAGTCCAGGAACCGCAAGGGCAAGAAGGAGATCGATTGCTGGAATTGTGGCAAGTTTGGCCACTATGAAAATCAGTGCCGAGAACCCCAAGAAGGACAAGGAGAACAAGACTGAAGCGAACGTGGCCTCAGGAGAATCAGATGATGCCCTAATCTGTTCGTTGGAGAGCAAAACTGAATCGTGGGTGCTGGATTCAGGAGCTTCGTTTCATGCTACCTCAAATAGAGATTTATTTGAGAACTATGTTTCAGGAAACCTAGGAAAAGTCTATCTTGGTGATGATCAGCCCTGTGATATCGTTGGCAAAGGAGTCGTGCAGATCAAGCTCAATGGGTCTATATGGAAGCTGAGCGATGTGAGACATGTTCCTAGCTTGAGGAAAAATTTGATTTTCATAGGACAATTGGCGAAAGAGGGATATGTAACAACCTTCGCATGTGATACGTGGAAGGTTACAAAGGGATCCATGGTTGTTGCCCGTGGTACGAAGACAGGTTCTCTCTATATGACAATAGATGCATGTGGTTCCATTGCAGTGGCTGAAAGTAAGTAAGACCTAAATTTGTGGTGCATTCTAGGGAAACAAAAGAGAATAAGCTTCAAAAGGGTTGGCAGAACCCCTAAGGAAGAGAAGCTTGAGTTAGTTCACACAGATGTGTGGGGTCCAGCATCAGTTCCATCCACCGGCGGAAGGTTATACTTTGTGACCTTCATAGATGATCACTCGAGGAAGACTTGGGTCTATTTCATGAAACACAAATCAGAAGTGTTTGAAGTCTTCAAGAGATGGAAGGCTATGGTTGAGAACGAGACCGGTTTGAAGATCAAGAAGCTTCGTTCTGACAACGGCGGCGAGTATGAAGACTCAGAGGTCAAGGTGTTTGAAGTCTTCAAGAGATGGAAGGCTATGGTTGAGAACGAGACTGGTTTGAAGATCAAGAAGCTTCGTTCTGACAACGGCGGCGAGTATGAAGACTCAGAGTTCAAGAAGTTCTGTTATGACAGCGGCATTAGATTAGAGAGGACAGTGCCAGGTACACCCCAGCAGAATGGCGTAGCAGAACGGATGAACAGAACTTTGACTGAGAGAGCCAGAAGTATGCGGTTACAAGCAAGTTTTCCAAAGCAATTCTGGGCAGAAGCAGTCAATACAGCAGCCTACTTGATCAACCGAGGGCCATCAGTGCCTTTGGAGCACAAAATACCTGAAGAAGTATGGAGTGGAAAGCAGGTAAACCTTTCTCACCTGAGAGTATTTGGTTGTGTTTCTTATGTTCATCTGAGTGATCATGCAAGAAACAAACTTGATCCTAAGTCTCTAAAATGTTTCTTTGTTGGCTATGAAGCAGGGATGTGGTCTTTAATGAAACAGTCCTCTACAAAGACCGTGATGTCGTTCAGTCCACTAGTTCGACACAGCGTGATCCCACATACTTTGAGTCAGAAGATGCATCAGATGGAGGCAATCCCGAAGCTAGTTCTGATGAAGAAGAAGAGTTGATGGATGAGACTACTTCAGAGGGGGCAGATGAAGATGGAGAGCCTGTTTCGCCCGTCAGAGAGTTGAGGCGGTCAGCTAGAGTCCCCAAGCCTAATCCAAAGTATCCATCACTACAGCCCAGAGCCCATCTCAACTACCTATTATTGAGTGACGGTGGAGAGCCAGAAAGTTATGATGAGGCACTTCGAGTGGATGATGCTTGAGTGATGGTGGAGAGCCAGAAAGTTATGATGAGGCCCTTCGAGTGGATGATGCGAGCAAGTGGGAGCTCACCATGAAAGATGAAATAAAATCCTTGAACACCAACAAGACATGGGAACTTGCGAAGCTACCAACGGGGAAAAAGGCCTTGAGCAATAAATGGGTGTACAGAATCAAAGAGGAACATGATGGTTCCAAGAGATATAAGGCCAGATTGGTGGTTAAAGGATTTCAGCAGAGAGAAGGAGTTGATTACACAGAGATCTTCTCTCCAGTAGTCAAACTAACTACCATCAGAACAGTCCTGAGTATCGTTGCAGCTGAAGATCTACATCTCGAGCAGCTAGATGTAAAGACAGCTTTCCTCCACGGTGATCTAGAGGAAGAGATATATATGCAGCAGCCAGAGGGGTTTACTCAGAAGGGAAAAGAGAAGATGGTATGCAGATTGAAGAAGAGCTTGTACGGCCTAAAACAAGCTCCAAGGCAATGGTACAAAAAATTCGATGGATTCATGCACAGGAACGGTTACTCCAGGTGCAATGCTGATCACTGTTGCTTTGTCAAGGAGTTTGACAACAGTTACATCATCCTGCTTTTATATGTCGACGACATGCTAGTAGCCGGTTCAGATATGACAGAGATCAAGAAACTGAAGAAGCAGCTGTCGAGTGAGTTCGACATGAAGGACCTAGGCGTAGCGAAGCAGATATTGGGAATGAAGATCAGCAGAGACAAACTCTTAGGCACACTACGACTATCTCAGGGCGAGTATATTCGACGGGTGCTTGAGAGATTCGGGATGAGTGGTGCTAAGGCCGTTAGCACACCGTTAGCTAGTCATTTCAGATTGACTAAGGAGCAGTGCCCCGAGACTGATGAAGAGAAAGATTACATGGCTAAGGTTCCTTATGCTTCAGCCATCGGAAGCCTTATGTACGCCATGGTATGTACGATACCTGACATTGCCCATGCAATGGGAGCTGTGAGCTGATTTATGTCAGATCCAGGAGAGCAACACTGGGAAGCAGTAAAGTGGATTCTGAGATACCTGCGAGGTACTATAGAAGATTGCTTATGCTTCAGGAGAGGCAAGTTAGTCCTACAGGGTTTTGTTGATGCAGACTATGCTGGTGAGATAGACCAGAGAAGAAGCACTACAGGATACGTATTCACTTTGGGCTCTACAGCTATTAGTTGGATTTCTCAGTTGCAGAAGATCGTTGCTTTATCAACGACAGAGGCTGAATATGTTGCTGTGACAGAGGCAAGCAAGGAGATGATATGGTTGCAGGGCTTCTTGGAGGAGCTGGGACAGAAAAGTGAGAAGAGTGTCCTACATTGTGATAGCCAGAGCGCAATTCATTTGGCAAAGAATCCCGCTTTTCATGCAAGGACCAAACACATACAGGTCCGCTACCACTTCATAAGATCAGCGTTGGACGAGGACATGTTGGAACTTGTGAAGATTCAAGGAAGCAAGAACCCAGCTGATATGCTTACCAAGGTTGTCACTACAGAGAAACTGAAGTTGTGTTCAACTTCAGTTGGCCTCAGCACTTGATGATATGGAGGCCGTCGCCGCAGAGAGAGCTGAAAGAGATTGATAGTTAGTCTCCAAGTGGGAGTTTGTTAGGATATGTGAAGCCTAACTATCAAGCATGCCCTATGCTTCAGAAGAGAGGAGGAACAAAGTTGGAACAGGAGGAACATGATCGACGACGACGAAGTTCAAGCAAAACGACGAAGGAGACAGTTTTCTGCATCGCGGTCGACCGCCAATGGCGCGGCGGTCGACCGACGTCGTGCACGACGGTCGACCGACGACGTGCACAGGCAGGCACTAGGGTGAGGAGCAGCTCGCGGTCGACCGAGCATGGCGCTGCGGTCGACCGCTCAAAGTCCAGAGAGCAACCCAGACTTTTAGCTTCATCGCGGTCGACCGAGCATGGCGCTGCGGTCGCCCGCCAAAAGTCCAGAGAGCCAGAGAGATTTTGAACCGCATCGCGGTCGACCGCACGTGGTGCTGCGGTCGACCGGAGTCGGGTTTTGGCCCAGATTCGTTTTTTAACCTGATTTGATCTGTTTCCTTGTTTACTTGTTAAACCCTTAAGTCTATAAATGGGTTGATTAGGGCATGATGTAAAGAGACGAAAAATAGTGAATTTTTCTCCTGCGGCGGCCGTGGACGTAGTTTCTCACATTAAGAAGCGAACCACGTAAATCTTGTGTGTTTGAGATTGTTTGATTTTCTCTCTTCTCTCCTAAATCTCTATTTTCAAATCGCATCAGGGGGGTTGTGCATCCCCAACAGTCATCTCCGTTATCAGCTTAGGTACTTTTTACAAACTTCCATTAAATCTTGCTGACGTGGCAATGGTATGACATCGCCATGTTATCAAAAAAATTAGTGAAAGTCCAAGTTTATCCTACCACATCACTGTCACATAACAAATAATAAGTAAAATACAAGTTTGTATTGAACTTGGAATTTCACTAATTTTGTTGCTGACATGGGAGGGTCACTTCATTGCCACGTCAGCAAGATTTAACGTAATTTTGTAAAAAAGGACCCGGACTGATGACTTAGGTAATATTAGGGACACCAATGATAACTTTCAAACATTAAGGACCCAAGTAATATTTGGTCAATACATCAAGGACCTCCACTGAAATTTGCCTTTTAGAAGACATAATAAACTTTCCATTAAACTCTCAGTGACTTTGGTAAAAAATTAAGAGTAGCCTGCGTTTTTAAATCTTGATCAGACCTTTCCACTCTATAATGCAGTTCGCCAATTTTAAATTTAGTACTTTTAGATGTGATCTCCCAAATCTTCTTTTAGGTACTTTATAGGTTCAGTCCTCCCTTTGTAATTTGGGAGGAACTGTATATGTTTTACATGCAATTATTTCAGAAAAAGTTCCTAAGCTTGACTACACAGAGACCAATACTATTAATAAAACATTAAAAATTTCCTGTATTTTCAGCTTCTTTTTTTAATGTGAGCTACAGCCCCAATATTTTCAGCTTTATACTTCGGGGAACTTATGTCAAGGCCCCAAAAGTAAAACGTTCATGTGTTACAACCCCTAAATTTTTTTCATGTGGTTCAGCCCTAAGAAATATCACATCATGTGCTAATTATTATGCTAACTAGGCATAAAGAGAAAGAAACAAACATAAAAGCTCAAAATACACTCATTTCCTCCTCCATCTTCGTTCTCTCCAGATCTATCATGTTAGGTCCAGTTTGATTCATGTTAAGTCTAATTTAATTCCTTTTAAGACTAATTTAAATCATGCCAAGTCTAATTCAGCTTGTTTTAGGTCTTAAAATAAGTTGAATTAGAGTTAACATGAATCATGTTAAGTCTAATTTAAAATGTTTTAAGTCTAATTTTATGCGAAACCCAATTTGGTTCATATTAAGTCCAATTTGATTCATGTTAAGTTTAATTTAATTCATTTTAAGTCTAATTTAAATCATGTTATGTCTAATTCAATTTAATTTAAGTCTAAAATAAGTTAAAATAGACTTAACATGATTCATGTTAAGTCTATTTCAACTTATTTTAAGTCTAATTTCATGTTAAGTCCAATTTTACTTCATGTTAAGGTCAATTTGTTTCATGTTAAATCTAATTTAATTCATTTTAAGTCTAACTTTAATCCAATTTAGTGTTAAGTCCAGTTTAGTTCATGTTAAGTTCAGTTTGATTCGTGTTAAATCCAGTTTGGTTCGTGTTAAGTCCAATTTAGTTCATATTAAGTCTAATTCGGTTCATGTTAAGTCAAATTTAATTCCTTTTAAGTCTAATTTATATCATGTTATGTCTAATTCAACTTATATTAAGTCTAAAAACAAGTTGAATTAGACTTAACATGAATCACGTTAAGTCTATTTTAACTTATTTTAAGTTTGATTATAATCATGTTAAATTCCTTTTAAGTCTAATTTAAACCATGTTAAGTCTAATTCAACTTTTTTAAGTCTAATTTTATTTTAAGTCCAATTTAATTCATGTTAAGTCTAATTTAATTCCTTTTAAGTCTAATTTAAATCAGTTATATAACTATTCTTTTATCATACTTTACTGTAGCAGTGAGCCCCACCATTTTGTTTTCTTTTTTCCTTTTCAACATTGGCTGCTGGGTGGGTTGGTGCTTGGCTTCATTAGGCGCCTAACATGCAGTAGACATAATATGACTATCTAACATGACTATCTAACGCTAGTCAAATGGATCATCATACTATTCTGTGGAGGACTTTATGAAAAATATATATGAAATATATACCATTAGCAGTTGCCATTTTGCTTTTCACAAACAAAAAACACTTCCGTATTAATCTTTGAACCTTTGATATAAATTTACCAATTTTAAGGCTTTTTTATGATATAGTTCATCCGTTATTCCACACACATTCATTCAGCAAAATCTTTACAAGGCTCTCCTTTTAATTTTAATTGAACATGCTATCTAACGGATGCTTGGAACATAGTTTGGGCATTTTTGTAACTAAAAGCTCTTTAACATCTCAGAGCAGAGTCCAACAAGAATCCTCTTATGCAGTAGCAGTGAAATAGTTTGAAAATTGTATTATTGCACGAATCATCTACGTCTATTAACTCATGCCATTCTAAAAGGAGGAAAAAATGCACCCTACTCAATCTAGTAGTACCAAGAAAGAACTCATAAGAGGACATCTAACTATGGATATGTAACAAGTAGTATTAACAAGGTGCAAGTTAGATATGCAATGCCTACTAAATCTGATTGTAGCAATGAGTAAATAAAAAATCCTAGCCCGTATCTAGTTTATCCATGGGCATAAGCTGGTTCGTCAAAATCCTAAGTCTTAAGTCCATAAGAGATTCCTAAAGATTGCAGGAGTTAGAAAAGCACTTTAACATAGTTAATGTTTCTATATTAAACTAATGGATGTACCTGAGCAATGTGTTTAGCATCAATGAGTTCAACCATAACAAATGAGGCATGCCACCCTTGCTTAAGGCCAAAAATTTCAAGCAGACCATCATCTGCACGGGCCTCAGCAAAGTGCTTCTGAGAAAAAGAAACGAGAATAACTGGTTATATAAAACAAAAGAGATGCATAAAAAGTGATCAGAGCAAAGCAGATATCCTAAATGATCAAAAAACTAAGAATGTAATATATGCATTAATGCTTGAATCTCTCCCGTCACTAAACTAAATGTGACAGTGTCTTGAATATCTAATGTAGAAAAAAAATCTCAAAATGAAAGATACTAGACTAAAATAAAGGATTAGCCAGGCAGAAAGAAACTTATATGGAACAGGAATATGACATGATCCCAACACGGCAGCGGGAAAGATCGTTAAAGAATATGATAACATCACTATCATGCAAAAGTAAGATATGCTTGTACAACAAATATATCCAATAAATACTCAGATTTGATTAATTAACCAAACGCGTATAAAATATGGCAGTTGTCTCAATAGTTAGAAAGTCAACTCATCTTCAAGTGTCAGAAAGAATGATGAAGCTTCATTGTGCCCACCTTAAACCTATCATGTAATGATTTACTATAGGAAGCAATGTTTTGATAAAGAAGGGCATTATAAGGGCCAATTTCAATTTATTATTGATCACTATAAGATTTTGTAAATGGCAATTTTAGGAGTTCTCTGATTAGAAATCAGGGTCCTCCAATATCATCTTTATCTCATTCTGATTGCCCAGTGAGTTAGATGTGTGAAGTTTCTCAGTTAAAAACAGAAAAGGATAAACAGGAGGAGATAAGAAGGTAACTGAGACGGCGTCATGTGTTTGCATAAATACTATTACGCTTGCATGACATACTTTCTTACACAAAAACACCTCAACTGGGACTGAGACCCTGAGAGCAACTGATTGTTCAGATTATTCTACACAGTTCCACGGTTTGAAATAATGTCCAATATTCTTTTAATAAAAATTCTATTTTAATTCAAAAAATAAAATAGTAATTCCAGCATAGGCAAATATTAAACAAATATAAAAATTTGGGTATGACCCATAACGTAAGGAACTTCACATATATAATTCATCGTTAATACCAATATAAATAAGAATTATTGAAATAAAACATATGTGCGCACCTTTTCAAGATATGCAGGCTCTGGATGACCCCATGGATTCCTTCCGCTACCATAATTGTGCAGATTCAATGCCACTAATGACCTAACACTGTAATTGAAAGAGACAAAGAAGAAACTTTTTAGCAATTATATCACAATGGAGGGAGGAAGGAGGGAGAGTAATAGAAATGTAACATTTTCAGAAGTCAGAACACCTCATGAATTTAGTACTTAAATACATACACATATAAATACAAAAAGAACAATTAATCTAATCTAAAAACATGCCAGCTCTGTTTTTTACTAGACAATGTCACTATAATAGTAAACCCCATCATCACCAACGTGGAGTTGATACGAATCAAAACTCCAAATTATGAGGGCTTGAAAGCAGATTGACCAGACCAACGGTCAATCTTACGTCAACCCTCAGCATTGCTGGTGAATTACCATGGGACGGTTGTTAATACTTATAGTGGGTAGGAGAGTATTGGTCTTCATGCATTTTTCTCTGATGTTGTCTCTATGAAGGGACAACTCTCGAAAACTCTCCTAGAATATTTGTATTTATATAAAGGGGAAAGGTGATAAACTTTCTATGGCGTCATCTCTAGGATATGGTTGCCAACCAGATAGCCTAATGAAACGTATTTACAGCATTCTGATTCTTAACAGTGAAAGGAATCTGTACATACTCTGAAGGAACTGGAATCTGCTCCCAATCTGAAAGAATGAACCTTTTAATGTGAAGCCGTAGAATATTCTTGAGTCCCCTGAAGCAAAATTTTAGAGATCAATATAGAGCAAACTATTGCACAGACTAGCATTCAGATTTACGATAATTTTTCAAAACCGGTAGAACTGGCATGATAAAGCAAACTGGACGAACATGAACTAGAAGTTATGATAAGAGAATAGGACATGGATAAGGCAGGCTATAAGATCTATCACTCAACTAGAAGAAAAGAAACATTTCAGAAGGCTTAACAGAGTGTTGCTGGTAATTAACAACAATATAAAAGAAAACAGAAATTCATTGACACTTTACGTTTCAGTAAATGTCCTGAAGCTTGCCAAACAACATAGATCTAGTTTTTTTTAAGAACCCTTTAGAAATTCCCAATTTTCTCCACGTGTCCATGGCAGACAGGATATAACCTATTATTGGTAACCAGGAGAAACTTTCGAGAGGAATAAGTTGGGTGTTTAAGATACTGGTCCGGAGAGACTTGCCATAGCTACTACCTAATGCCTCTGCTACTCGCTACTGCTACTTCTGCTATTGCTTCTTTTTATTTTTACAATAGACTAACTAGTCATACTTATTGGTATAATTTTCCTACTTTACTTTATTTTTTCCGTAGTTTTCTTATTTTATTGATTCCAGGCATTTTATCAATTTTATTAATTATTTTTTAAAAAGAAAAAAGATAACAAATAATGTTTGTGCACTCTAAGTGACAGATCTGCTTAGCATATTTTGTAACACTGAAAAAACATATATTTCAAACAATCATGTCCAAATAACAAAATCCATGACATTTGACGGGCTATATTGACGAAGACATGGAAGTATTTTGCAATAGTTACGAAATAGAGACAGGAAATGATAGAACTTCTACAGCGAAGAAGACGTAAACATTATCATGAAAAGTTAAAGAAAAACAAACCTCAAACCTGGACTACCTACGCAAGGTGTGCAGAACCATCCCTGTGTACAACTATATCCAGCATATATCAACTGGTTCAAGAAACACCAAATTAAATCCTTATTTACTAATAATAATGCCTAATAGCAATTGAAAATCAACAAACTTGAGAAACTAAACAATAGATGGCAAAATTTGTGCATTCATTATGCACTAACTAAATGTGCTCAACAAAAGGGTCCTCAGATACCACAGAAAAAGCGCCAGCAAGCTAAAGAGAAATCAATCACTAAGTTGTTAATGTAAAGAATCTACATGATAAAAGGAGTGATCAATCGCGTGATGGAATTTCCATGAGTAAAAGAACTTCTTTTACTAAATTTAACAAGCATGTGCAAGATTGTATGTGCACCCAAAATCACTCGTCACTTTGATATCTGTGCCATATATATCACTCAAGGAATGCAACAAGCCAATAACAAGGAGAAACTGTAGCATGATGTAACAATTTAAAGGGAGAGAAGCTCTAGAACATAGGACGAGGAAGAAGATATCAACAAATTTTATCTTACTCATTAAGGTTTCTCTCGACCTAAGTGGATCGCATCTGCATCAGTTCCCGCTACAAAAGTGTGGTATTGAATGTACAGGGTATAGACAGATCATGGAAAAATGGCACCACAAAACTATAAGCCATCTCTTTCAAACTTGCAACATAAGCGGGATGGATATTTGACAAGGGATGCAACCAGATTGCACAAAAAACCTATACAAATCAGACCAGGAAAATATACATGGTTTGCTGCAGCGATCTATCCCTGTCAAAGATAAGAGAGAGATCTATTATATCAAAGGTGGTTACATGAAGATAACAACTGTCAAAAACTCTCTATTAAACCCAAAAAAAGATCTCTAGTGACCTGCAAAACTCTGACAATGAAGCAGGAAAGAAATTCAACAAAAGATCTCTAGAAGTTGCTTTGGATACATTAAAAGTGACCACAAGTGAAAGGCTCAAGTGTAAAATATGCACAACAATTACATATTTATATTGCTAACAGGAAAAAGGAAAAGAAAATGCATCAGACAAATAATGAGAAGAAATCAGAACCAAACCTTGTTTGAAATCGGTCCTTGGGCGATGTAAGGCTTTGTATTACGAAGGTGGTGGAAACCATAAGCAACTTGAGCATCCATTCCTGCATCACTTCATACTAGTTATGCCCACCAACTAAAGAAAGAACCTCACAGTATAGCATTTTGATCATGAAATCATATGAGGGAGGTTCAACTACTACACAACCAGTCAACTATAGATTCATCTGTCACATCCCCTAAACCCAGAAGAAAGTAGTAAATGAAACTCTTTGTAACAGTAAAGACACTGTCAAGACGAAATATTGAGCTTTTATATACTTCTCTAAACTCAACTAACCAAAAGTATACTAGATTCTCCATTAAATTTAATCAGGACTATCTAAAGACACTTATTGATAAGTTAACACATAAATGTTAACGTTTGTGTATGATAGTTCGAAGGACAGATATACTTCAACTGTCACAGTTTCTGCAACATAGCAGAAATAGTACACAATACAACATTGTAACAGCAAAGACATGAGGTACATCTTTGAACAAAGGTATATACTTTTCTAAGTTTAATAAGGTGAAAGTACACTACCCTCTAATTGATTATGTTTGCAGTTTAACTTGTTCAATTTACTGGTCGTATTTTCAGAATATTAGACTGATAAGATTGAAATTAATACTATAAGTAGTTTCCACTTGTATAGAAGGTCATGTACAGGCCACGGTGGGCATTGACATAGCTAATAGCAGTGTGATATGTAGTTTACTAGAACATCACCTTCTAACTGTGACCCGTGAGAATCATACATAAAGTTCTCAACCATGGGGAGAGACAGGGGAATGCGTTGACAAAAATTAATAGACGTAGAAATTATGCGTAAGCGTGTGAGAGCCTGCTCATACCTATGCTAAAGTAATTGTAGAAGACACCTTCAACGCATAAATTCTTCTCAGGAACTGTAACTTCACTAGTAATATCCTGCAGCAGTATTGATACTTTCACAACATGTGATACAATAGAAACATACTGCAGAATTAATAAAGTAGTAAATTACAAAGAATCAGGTAGTGGATGGAGAGTCTTTAACAGTATGCATCTAATTATTAACAAATGGACCACAAAACCATTTTGAACCCAAAGATTGATTTCTTAAGCTAACAGTGTATATCAAGCATGTCAAACAAAAGCTTAACAAGTCAGGATTTGGAAAACAATTATTATACATCCTAGTTAAACCCCCCGACTTCATTTTTTTATAAAAAGATAAAACCAAATGATATGTTTAGCTTCCACGTGAAGTAGGACAAGAATGTTTGTATCAATATCTACACCAGGACTATTACTTCCCAGCTCTATACCAGGTCACTAACGATTTTACCCATAAATATGTGCTGCCTCTTGGGCCATTAAAATTTTCCAAGGCCTATTAACGTATCCAGACATGTACAATCAGTTAGATTGTCACCCCAACAACTTGGCCATCTGTAGCTGGTAGCATCACTTGACATCTGGTGACTTGCATCAGAGTTATAACTTTATAAGATAGTATTTTTGTTACCTAAAAAGAATCTTATCACAGGATATGCTACCATCTCATCAATTCACCATGTCAATTCCACAAGGTCATTAGATAAGAAAACATGGAACAGAAAGAGTAAAGAAGTCTCAATAATAACCTCGCTTAGAGTGCATTCTCCCATGTTCCTGAGAGAGAGTGGCAGCTCAAGCTTTTCCCCCACTGGCATTGAGACCAAGACATGCCAACTGCACCCAAAATACTTCACGTTTTCATATACACTGGATCTTTTTTATGCACCAACAGAGGGTTGAAAGAGCTTAGAAATGGAAGCACTTCAAAACAAATTAACAAAGAATAACTCATTCTGCAAATTAAGGAGAGAGCTTTTATCAGAAAGCAGCTGTTTATTTTTCTTTTTTCTTGTTTTTTTCCTCTTTTGTGAAAAAGGTTGCTCATAACATATTGATCCTTGCTAAGGTTTATACTGTTATAGCTTTTTCATAGATGAAGTTTGAAATGAGTATGCAAGAAATGCAAAGAGTTTTGGTCAATAGTTGCAGTAGCCAGCAGTAACTGCTCAATAGAATGTAACTGGACCAATTTGATGCAGCAGCAACGAAGACATGATTATAGAATTAATGAAGAAATTATAACTGATGGCTAAAAGATGTAAAGATCTAGTAATGAGGCATTTTAAAGAAAAAGGAAATAAACTGGAAATATAACTCATGAAGAATGAGCCTCAAGCCTTTATGTGAATCTAAGTTGTAAATCTAAGTCATCAAGAGAACCCAACTTACAGTCTAAGTGAAAAGTTACAGTCCAAACTATTAGTTTGATTATAATCAAAACCAGAGATGTCTTAGATCTATGTTGGTGTTAGATTTTATTAGTTTTGTTAGCTATATTGGTAGTTGGGTATATGGATCTATTATCTACACCCATTGGTGCAATCCTAAACTCTATTTGATGCAGGTTAGGTTTGGGGAACAATAAATTTTTGGCTCTTTCTCTCTACATTTGGTTTTCAGGATCTTGATGCTTTAACAGAAAACAGAAGACCTATACAATGACATAATATAGTAGATGCATCTTTAATCCATGCTCCATTTTCAGAATCTTGATAAGTTATGAGAAAATCCCAAAAAACACATTATCATTTAGTCAGTTATTAAAACTCTAGCTTTTCAACCAATTTCTTTGCAACAAATGCAAAAATAATCAGGTCATGTATTATAATTTTTACACTCCACGCCTCCCACAAGCAAATTTGTGACTCCAGGTGATCATGCACCCCCACCTAAAAAGAAACATAAACCCAACGGACACAACCACCGCAAGAGGGAGAACACCTTTTCCCTAGATACAAATTTTGATGGCTTACGATGTCATACACTGTAACATTAATATATACATCCCTCAGTGCTATCTATGTTCGAAAGGTAGTAGATGCACCAAATATGTTTGCTTGTGTGCAGAAACAGCTTGCACTTAGAAGCGAGAACCACAATAAGATAATGTCAAAGGTGCATTGTATATCTGCAAAAAAATTGTCAGCATTTCTTGACATCCAAAATTGCAAGCAGACATAATCATATGCCAGAGTAACTACAAGTTTCTACCATGGAAATGCTTCATGATCTTGAAATCAGAAGCACAACTAAAACATATTAAACTCCTAATGCTTTTCGGTTTTTTTTCCTAATTGAATAACTAAGATTCAATTATTTGCAGAAGATTAATGACTGGTTATGTGATTTGATGCTCCGTAGGGATTCTAAGTCGTACATGGTAAAAAAATATATAAATCTGCTTTTAATAAAATAGACATCACTGTGCATTTTGATAAACAATACCTGTCAAGATGGCAAATAGGACCATTAGTTGCCTTGTGGAGAGATCGTTTCACAGCAGATCTCCACGCAAAAGGAAATGAACCTCCCTACAGGAAGGGCAGTAGTAAAGCTATATATATCAACTCTTCTAAATCTTTTCCCCCTTTGACGAAAGTGTTGATTCTGCATGTAACAGTCAAACTAATGATGCAAAAGCCCCTTACCCAGCCAAAACTCCGTGATAGATCATTGCCTGTGCCAAGTGGAATAATAGCAACTGGAGGAACTGGGCCTCCAAGCTCGAAAAGTTCTCCAAGACTTCCTAATACCCAACCAACAGTACCATCACCGCCTGCAACCTGCAGGCAGAACCAAAATACGAATCATTACATGTGAATAAGGAAATGAACACAACCATTAGAATCATAATAGATGAGTGGGAAGAAGTTCACATTTTAAAATACAAACCTCAACACAGTGAAAGTGTACTGTCTTCTAACCATAGATAAAGAAAGCATGACAGGTAAAGTTCTAAGCTAACGTACCACAACCCTCAACTTCTGACGAACACCCCGTGCACAATTGTCACCGAGTTCAGCCAACTGCTCCAAGACGGCTAAGCTGAAGTGAACAAACTCGATAGGATTCACATGCGAGAGATGAAAAATCTGCATCATTTATGATTTTCTGTAACTCCAGATATTACACCTTATATGTTATATAAACTTAGGACAAAGATTAAAAGATAACTAAACTCAAGGCGCATATTCTTGAACACACATACTGATATAACATATATGTCTAAAATATACATGTTTGTATGTATACTTGGATCTTTTTGGTAGGAATACCATTCAAGCCTTTCCCACTAAAATTTGATGTCCATCCATTTTTGTAATCTACTTTGTTAAAGTAAATACATATGTATATTTTTTTACCCATTCTTGCAGGCAAACACGAATTGGTTAGTCCAAAATAGTATGTTGCAAACCTACACTTTAGGACACAGAAATTTTGATAAATCAGGACTTTTTTCATTAATAAACCCAAAGTTTTACCACACACTTCTAAAATCATTCTTAGATCCAAAATACCGATACTAAATTACTTTTAAACCCAGTCTATGTTTCAGTTGATATAATGATGTCTAAGTTGATATAGTTGGTGTATAAGTAGCTATACGTGAGCCTAAGTTGCTATATTTAGTGTATTAGTAGCTATATTTAGGTTTAAAATGCTATAGGTGGGTTTAATAAATGTTCAGTGTGGATATTTTGGGTTTAAGAATGATTTTGGAAGTGTGATGGGTTAAAAATAAACAAAAGGAAAACTTTGGGGTTATTAACTAATATACCTTGAATTATTTTGTTACGTCATCTACTGGTTCTTCAAAACTACTGAGCTTCTGAACTTCTTGGACTCATCAAAACTACTGGATCCATGAACCCAGATCAAAAAAAAATGCAAATGACTAAAAGAAAGTTCATATTAGAACTCATCTTTTTTTACCTATATTGTCCCAAAATCAACTATATTTGCAAATGACACCCTAAACCTTGATTTTAGATGTTATGTCATTTATGGGATCTTTAAAACTACTGAACTTCTAATTTTCTTGTGCCCATCAAAATCAAAAACTACTAGATCCATCTCTATACTCACAATCCTCAAAAACATCACTCCAAAAGACTAAAAAAAGCAAATAATAGAACCAAGACTTTTACCTATGTAAGCACCCAGTTCAACCATATTTGCAAACTAGACTGTAAACCTAAATATTAGCTAATTTACCCCCAATTCTACCATGGATATTCCTTTTTTCCCTTGGTTAGTTGCTTAGCTGATATTTTCCCCTTCCATCATTCATAGTTGATTTCGGGATGTAAGTAAATATTCAAAAAAAAAGAGAACTAAATATTTTCATAATTACGAGAAGTTTTGAGCCATCAAGATTCTTGAACTCATCAACACTCCAAGACTGCTGCAATCAAGAGCTCATAAGCTCATCAAAACTACTAGATCCGTTCTCTAACCTCCTAATCCTCAGGAATCAAATATTTCCAGAACTAGGAGAAGTTCTGAGTCATCAAGATTCTTGAAATCGATACCTGCTCTTCTCCCATGAGCTCTCGAAGCCTCTCCCCAATCTCCAACCCTCGTCTCCCTCCACTCTTCGAGTTGACGAAGACGACGATCGGAGCCTCGGGAATCCCCTGGCCGATCTCCTTCAGCGGGAAGGACTTTCTCGCCGTCGCCACCGGCGTCTTCTGCGTCGCCGCGTCCTTCATCGCCTTCCTCAAATACTCCGGGATCGTGATCCGGCGCCTTAGATCCTCGCGATCGATCGTCGACGCCGAGATCAGACCGCACGCGCGTAGCGAGTCGGCGATCGACGATCGGATCGCTAACGACCTCGACGCTTTCGCTCTCTCCGGCGATGCCGGAGTACTCCTCTCCGCCGCCGGAGTCTGAGACATTGATTGATTTTGGTTGGTTTCTTGATTTTGGCTGGGTTTCTTGAAAACTGTGAGACAGTAGTGAGAGTGTTTGATGAAGAGAGTGGGAGATTTAGGTGGGAGTTTTCTTTTATTTCGTTATTTTTATTTTATTTCAAATTTTCAACTATTGAAGAAGGCCGGAGTAAGATTTTTTTTAATGGAATTACGATGGCGCCCCTGTGTTTTTTCGGTGAAATCGTGGGGGTAAAATCTAGTGAGGTGGTGAGAACATCAAACAGGTTGTTGTTTTTTTTTTTTTCACCTAAATGATTAAATTATTTCTCTCTCAATACTTTGTGTGCTTTTGGTTCTAGAATCAGGATTATTAATGATCTAGAGAAAACTTTAAAGGACATAAAAAATTTCAATTCATGATGTGAGCATTCTAACTCAAACGAATCCCGGCTAGCACCAAGGTCCAAAGTTGAACAACCGGCTCAAAGCGACTCATTCAATTAGTATATACATGACACTATAGTCTAAGCGAGATCTCATCATATCCTGGGCTATTCGGTTGAGAGAAAATAGAAATTTTGAAGTAAATAATTTGGATAAATATTTTCCGTGTTTGGCTATTAACACTTTTATTAGAAAAGGTAAGCTACATTTGAAGAAAAATTTGCAACAAACATGGCATCCAATTTGGTGGTAGCAAAAGCTACAGATTCCGAAAAGAAAATTAAAAAAATAGTATAATACAAATCCCTTCCCATCAAAAACAATTTTCCAATTTAATCTAGATAAAATCTGCCCGACTTCTATAAATCATATAGTTTATGAACATATTATTTTTCAGCTAAATACCTAAACTTGTGACGTCTACTTTCCAAATAAAAATAAAAAACAAATACAAAGCAAAAGCTGCAGACATCCAAATGCTACAATATTTTCTTCATTTCATTTTTACAGCGAACAAAACGGCCAAAACTATTGTAAATTTGTAATGTATGCGCTGTGCGGAGCTAGTATCGAATCTAGAGAGTGAGAAGTGGGGGGGTGGCATTTTGGTAAAAATGGGTGGCGGGAAACAAGCATGACGTGTTCCGGGGTTGACCCCCATCAAAAGCGCGCCAACTTTTCTCGGCGCTTAACTATCCAATTTTCAAACAACCACAGGTGAGGCCCGCCACCAACGGCCTCTGTATTACACTGTACTAGTATTTTCTATTTTTTATGGAAAATATTTCATTGAAAATCAAGCGATGTTCAAAGATGCCCAACGGGTTTAGGGGTGCATTCAGTGTGGATACGGCTATGCTTATCATATTCATATCCGCTTACTCATCTCGGATACATATACAGATATATCTCGGTAAGAAAAATTCACATCCATATCCGCTAAAATCAGATACGGTTAAGGATATATAAGCGGATATGCATGCAGATACAAAATGGATATGAGAAAACTAGATAGTATTGAGAAAAACAAAGTTCATGTAACACAAAAGAATTCGTTAATATATTCATTATAACTGAAAAGCTAAGATTAGACATCTTGATCATCAAAATTAACCACAAATCCATAATTTAAGAACTAAAACTATCGTAAGAGTATGATTAATATGCAAAATTCGGATACGGATCCGGATATTTCACTACGAAACCATATTCGTAACCATATCCTGTCGGTTATAAATTTGAGTAATCATATCTGTATCCTAACAGATAACGGTTTAGCACCCCTAAAGGGTTACTTAATCTGAAAAATCAGATAACCATATGCAAACATCAAATGAGTAAGTCCGTTCTTTGCTAAATCATGGGCTAACGTATTGCCTTCACGCGTCAAATATAAGAGAACTGCACATATTCAAGACCGTCAAACTCCACATAAATTTCTCTAGGTACATGTCCATAGTGATTTTGAGCTGGCATTGCCGTCTTCAGCTCTTAAATAACCTCCAGTGCATCAGACTTTATGGCCCTTCGATAACAAAAATGTTGTTTGGCTCGCGTTAATAAAAACCAGTGCATCAGACTTTATGGCCCTTCGATAACAAAAATGTTGTTTGGCTCGCGCTTAAACGCACGAGCCAACTCGCATAGAGAGAAAACTGTGGGACCCACTATGCCAGTGGGGCCCACCCCTCCTCTCTGTGCGAGTTGGCTTCCGCTTTAAAGCGCGAGTTACCTCGTGCGTTAAAGCGCGAGCCAAACAGCACGACCCCTTCGATAACCTCTACTATTCGCAATTCGTACCTCTTGCAGGAAACCAAAATAGCATCTATCATGACGTGTTTCTTTTTTTTTTAATTAATAATAGTTTTTTATTTGCCATGGTATAAAAACTGACAGTGATACAAATATCTCGTTCTGACATCTCTGTCACTCTATAATTCTCTACAACCAGAATAATTGTGGGATACTCATCTTTTAATATCAACCAGTTCATAGGATATTAAGAACAAGAATGCAAAATCCATATACTGGCAATCCAATATTTGTATATATGAGACATATATCTAAACAATACAAAATTCACTCAGTAGTAAAGTGACTCTTAACAATCAGTATATAAGTCTGCAATAGGAACTGGAAAGCATAAATTTATCTACAAGGCGCAAAACTGTCATTTTTCCTGCTCCAACTTCTCCCTCCAATTCACATAGCTATACTGGTAATTTCTACAGCTTTTGGCATCGCGGATAACAGTGGCTCTCTCGACCATAATATTATTCTCATAATCAATTTTGTATGAAATATCAATTCCATCCAGGATTAAGTGATAAGTTACGTCGGCCAGTGACCTTGATGATGATGCATTAATGTTGACATATTTGTCTGATTCATGGCCATCGCCATCATCGGTATCTAAATGGTCAACTCCTCCATTGCTCTCATTCTTTGAGGTCACTTCATGAGGTCGAGTTTTTTGAGACAGTGATCTTATGTCCCAAGAAAGCACCTCTTTGATCAAACTTTGGAATTCTTTGGCAGAAGAGTATAATGAATGCTTCTCCTGAAACAAGAATAAAGCAGCGAGCACTCAATCATTGAATAACTCTAAGAAGCAAAAGCGTGCAACTTAACTCAATAAACATTTGAACAGTCAAGCTATACATAGCTATATTTTTGGTTCTTTCGAGAAGATATCTGATCCAGATTATCCCTACAAGGTTAATATTGTATAGTACGCAGAGACATATGACAATTTAGAACAAGGTCTGGCCTGAATGAAACAAAAATATAAAAAAACAAAAAATGATTTAGAAATTAGCAAAACACAGGAAAATAAAAGATATTCACACAGTGGTCATATTCGCAGTTATGCTCGTTGGTTCTTCACACATGATTTCTCCTTGGGTTCATCTTGTACAGAAAGAGGAACCATAACAACATTTCAACTGAGGTATGGGTTCAACCAAAAAAGTACAAAATACTGAAAAGTTAAGATATTACAAAAAAACAACAAGAAACCCCCTATCCCAAATTAGAAAAACAAAGCAATAAATAATTAAAGGCCAAACTTAGCTTCCAGTATTTAGGATAGAATTATACATTTTAGTTATTTTTTCCTAATCGAAGTTTGCAAACCTTTCCTTTTAAGCATTAGCATGTTGCGTTTATTTAATGAAAAGAAATGTCTTCCCTACAAGTGAGATGATGAAGCTTAATTCTTTTTTTCGGTATGAGACCATTGTGGTTTGATGTCACAAGAGCTATCATAGCTAAGGAAACATCTCACCTCTCTGCATAGCATTAATGCGCACGATTATTCCATTGGTACTATATGGATCCTTCTATGGGAGCAAATGTCATCAGTATTTTGAAAAAAATAAAAATATGTGCAAAATAAGTGACTATGAAAGAAGAAAGCATGAAATAGCTGGAATGCTTTAAATATGTTAAACCATATATGAGAATGAGCTAGAAATAGTGATAAAGAGATCCAATTATAACTTGAAAGTTGTCCAGCAATTAGCACAATGGATTATTTCATGCTGTCAGATAAGAAGATTCATAGTTTATGCTTGTCACATTTAATAATAGAAAATTACTTACAGTGATGGCCCAACAACTGAAAAGAGACGAAGGGAAATCCACAGAGAAGCTCACAGAACCCACAGCTAATGCATTCTCTTCCTGCTAGCAGCAATCAATGACGAAATTAATATTTTAGAAGTAAACTTTATGTCAATGAAGAGACGACAAAGGACAACTACAGGACGAAAACATTGGAATTTCGACAAGGAAGTAACCTATACACAATCATTTTTCTTAATAAGAGCGAAAAACCTGATCAATTTGTTAGGTATACCAAAATACTTAATGACTTAAGAGCTTTTGAGCCTTCTATAAATTTCATACGTAGAAGCATCAATAATAAAAGTTATAGTATAAATCATAAGATAAATCCACATCATAATTTATACCCAACGTTAACCTGGAAACCAAAAGAATTATCCCCATGTTTTAATGGTTAACTTCTCCCTCAAATGTTTGAAATTTCATATGTATGAACAGCAATAATAAAAGTCATAGTATAAATCATAAGATAAATCGGCATCACAACTTATACCTAAAGTTAACCTGGAAATCAAAGGAATTATCCCCATGCTTTAATTATCCCTCAAATGTTCCAGACTTGGAATTCCAGGCTAGTAACTTGTTCTATAGACCTCAAGCATTTAAATCATCTGCAGAATTGCAGTTCTGGAAATTGATTGATTACCAAAAAAGGGCATAGAACTTTGAAAGACTATGTCCCATCCAGTGTTAGGCCATTAGAGGATAATTTGTCCAAAGTAAAAAAAAGGCAAGAGGCTGCATTTCAACCACTGCAGCACTTTATTGCCCACATACAATCTGATGGGGAACGGAAGTATCGTCCGTCTTGGAGTGTTGATTGGAAGAAGACGACGATAATGATGATTGATGGTGGAGGGGACTCGTCAAGGGAGCTAGCGATTGCAGATGGGGGTGAGATCAATCAATAGGAACTATAATAAAGGCTAAACGAAAAAGATAACAAGATAAATATTAAGATTAGACCACATTCACTCACGGGCATCTAACCTTGAAAATAACAGCTTCACACCTAAAGCGACTCACATGCTTCAAACAGACTTCTCATAATCAAATTTCATTAATCATTGTCCATACTCAAAAGAACAATACAGTTATTTATAAAAGAATGTAATGCTAGAAGAAAGTAACAAATATCCTCCCTAACTAAAATCTTAACAAAAAAATTACCTCATAACTGAAAATCAAACATAACATATCAACTATATTGTCCTAACTGAAAAGATAAAAAACAAATTATCCTAGCTACTTTTTGAAATTGAAACAAATAATATCTTGGTGAATGTTGCCCTGCATCTCAATCCCATGGGCCTGGGGAAAAAATCAATCTCACGGAAAGGGAGCAGTATTAACAAGGTCTGGCTTGTCCTGCATTCTTTGTCACTAGTAAGTGTTACTTTATTCTGTATAATGTTTCTTTTTTATTTTGTTTTGTTTAGTCTAAGACATTCTCTCTTTCAGTACAGTTGGGAGAGTTAGGATAGTTTTTAGGTTGTTCGTACAGAGTAAAAATTAGCAAGAACTAGGAATTTAGATTGAGATAAGGAGGAGAGAGTAATTCCATCTTTTTTGCAAGAATTAAGGAGAATGAGCAAAGTCTAAATATGGATGCTTTTTAAGGGTGGCATTGGCTGATGTCTAGGCAACTCCACCCTAATAGTTGTACCACAACTCTAGGGTATTTAGGTCTAAAAAATTTAGCAAGAGTAAGCATAAACTACTGCCTATCGAGCTATTTTTACTTGCCAAGCACAGGCTAACCAATCCGTTTTATTTTAAATTTTAGTTGAATCATGCACTTAGACCATTTCCCTATGTAGCCAATAAGTACAACTGTTAACTTGGTTAGATTCAACCCTTTATTATATGTGACAAAAACAACACTATTTTGAGAAACAATACCAACAAGTTTGGATAAAAGTGCAAGATGCACCACGGAGTTCATTACATGCCGACGCCCAATATGTAATGTCAAGGAAACAAATGTACATGTGTCTAACAAAGAATCAAATGTACCTCTCATTGAAAAGGGTAAATAGTGTAAACTAAAAAGCAAATAGATAAAAGATTATAAAATAGAAATGCATGCAGTGTGGAATTCAAGGATAGTTTCAGAAGGAAAAACAATACTTAATGGGTGTGCATTAGAAGAAAATCAAATGCAGTAAGACAAGCAAGAATAAATAAAGTGCTTCAAGTCATACTTAAGGCAATTTCACAAGACAGTCAAAAAAAAGAGGGTAATTTCATAAGTGCAATACTGAAAAGTACCTTCAACCACTCCGGCACAGTTGCACTACAGACGCAATCTGGATATGGCAGGTAAGGCTTGATATCAAGTATTGGCTGTTGATAAAGAAAGCCATAAGCACAAAGTCAAAACTAAAACTGCCAACACAAGCACATGAGTTTAGCATCATAACACAAGAAACGAGATTTAGGCACTAGATATCTAAACAATGACTCTTACGGTGCCATCAACCAAATCCACACCCGAAAGCAAAACTGCATGCCCATCAACTGCCAGCACCTGGAAAACGTCAAAGATTAATTTGCATTTGATTCCCTGGTTAGAATTAATTTCAGGAAAATAACTTTACACCAAAATACACAACTCATACCTCCAAAAAGGAGTAAAAGAATTGAACTGAAACAAGCACAACAAGGATCTCACAGCTTACTTTGCACCCCATACCCTAGTAAATTGGGATGTTTAATTTTCCACATACTCATGAACTCCACCCTAGTCCCTTATTTTTAAAAGAATTGTCACCCACTTCCCTGTAAAGTGTAGATATGGGTAATCCCCAAAATAGAGAAGTTCACATGTAACCTATCAATAGTCCTCGGAATATTAGAGAAGTCTTTAACTCCATAGACCTAATAATCACCAAATCCTCAACGCATAATTTAAGCTTGCCCATTAACTTAGTTCAAATCAGAGGCTCTAAAAGAAGAACAAGTGACCAAAATGCGAGCATTAACCTATGATCTTCTCCAAATTTTACTTGAAACTTTAGGTGAAATGATAGCGCTAGAAATTAGTAAACTATAAGAGTGGCTTTCATTGAGGTTAAGGCAGAAGGCGTCTAAGTCACCTGAATATTGATTGTTGACACCAATGAAATGCTACATGAGTCTAGACAAACCAACCTGGATTGAGCCACTAAAACAGGACATGTACAATGTGACCGTGTGATCTAGGATTAGGTAAATAGGGTGAATGCATGACTAATGCAAACAAAGCGCATGGATGATTTGCAATCCTATGAGTCAAGTAGTCACTCATCCTACAGGCAAACAAAATTCTCAATTTCTCTATACTCTATTAGTATATGAATCCCATTATCTGATATTCACACATTATCGTTCTGTTGAAAACAAAACTTAGCATGCAAATCCCTCCTTTACATATAAAGAGAAATTGGTGAAGTACCCTGAAAGCATAAAAAACCGCCACGTATAGCATTAAAAACTGCCATGTGTACTACTACTAAAGAACTCAATGGTTTTGAAAACCTGGGCTCGATGGCAGTTTTCCCAATTGGATGATATTAGCGACCTAGGTATCTGAAGAAACCATGGGAATTTGAGGAAAGAGGGTGAGAAGAGAGATCACAGGAGATTATTTGGTAAGATATTGTCAAATATTAGGGTTGGGTTCTGGGTTCTTTGAAAATATTTTGCTGAGGAATCTAAGATGGGTTAGGGTCGGATTAGATTGCTTTCCTTTTTCTTTTTTAATTTACTGCTTTCCAAACCATATATTTAACGTAGTTAAAAATACATTATTGACATAATTAATTGTAAATAATTAGACTTTCAAACACGGGTAGATTCTTTATGGTTTTAAAACTTAGTACATATTCCTTTTTTTCCTAAGTTTCTCATTGAAAAAAGGTAGTAAATTGAATTCTCTATTTCTAGGAAACTAGTAAAAGTTCCGTGAGTTATCTCTATTTATTGCAAGCCAATTCATGTCTATTTTGTATTCTGTAGTTGTCGGAGTTGCATCAACACCAAAGAAGAAAAGGTAATTTCTGAAACTTTATTGTTCTTTAGTTGATTGTTCTAATATAGGTATCACTTCTTGAATATCAAAGCCATCTACTTTTTTAGTCTAATCTGAAAATTTTATTGTATATGTAGTTGATTGTTCTCTCCTCAATATTTGGTTTACTTGATTTTTCTAAGATTATTTTTCAAGATATCTATTCTTGAATTCAAAAGTCATCTACTTTTAATGCTAATTTAAAAATTTATTATTCAGCAGTTGTCTGTTCTCGCTTTAATATTTGGTTTGATTGATTTTTCTAATGTTATTTTCCAAGGTATCTATCTTAGAAATTTTAACTTCATACTAATTTGTAAACTTTTGTAAATATTATTGTACATAATTATAACAAGTCAAAAGGTTTCTTCACATAATTGAAAATTACAAATAAATTGTATGATGGAGCTCCAATATAAGGTATTATGATTAAATGGATTTGAAATCTGTTTGCACATGGGCTCAATTACCATAGCAGATAGCATATGGTAATATATACTAATTGTATGATAAACATTCATTGATCCGTGAGGCACATAAGTATGATAGATGTCAACTTTCTTACATGTCAGAAGCTATTGATTTTGGCTTACTCCTCAAATAGAAATCATCAAGGACATTTTGTAGTGGCAAAAGAATGGTTGGCCTGTTTCTGGATTAAATTAGTAATTTGCGCTTATTTACATGAATTGATAAGCAAGATCCCCGTATACGTCTGCAATATAAGCATAACTGGCATGGAGGAGAAAAAACAGAAATACAAATGCATGGTCTACAAACTAAATGATATTCAAAATTACTGAATGTAAATTGCTACATTCCAGTGCCAAGATAGATTAAGTCGGAATTCAAGTTAAGGACAACAAACAAGTGAAAAGTTTTCTCAATCAACCAACAATGATATTTTATGTATATCAGGTAACATAATTAACCATGTTCAAATTATTATGAATTACATATATTAACACCAGGTATAAAAATATATATTACAGAGAAATAGTTTTATCAAACAAACCAAAAATGCTGTGTATGACAATGACAAACAAAATGTGCAAGGTCCCCAAGAAACAATAGAAAGAAACTTATTATTGATATTTTAGAGGATGAAAAATCTTAATTAAATGAGTAAAGCCCCATCTTTGTGATTTAAGGCCAATTTATTGGATAAGCAACATATGGAGTAATCCAGAATTATTTTTCCTACAAACGTACATACATGTACGTGTGTGCATGTAATGTATGCATGTATACCCATAATTGAAGAATGCAAGTAGAAGGTTTTATAATTTGATGTGTGTACCTACAGATCCTGATACCATGATATAGGCATATAAGCTTGGCATTTGCTCCAATCACATGTTCCCCTAAACATTTTATTTCGCAATCATGGATAATCATGTTCCACATACTGTTCACAGATGTAAGAGGGTATCCAAATTATATTCACATAACATGTTTCAAGATGAAGTTGACGCTTTTTTTTATTTTGAGATTGATGTTACCATCAAACTTTATTAACATGTTGTTGTAAAATAATAACATGAATTTTTTTTTTAATATAGCAGTTCTCCGGCTATATTGTAAGCACACTGATGTAAATTTTATTATTTCCATCACAGGAATAATAGAATGCAACAGGCTATTTGTGAACAAGCAAAGGATGTGTTTTTTAAAGGGAATGAAGAAAAAACGATCATTCGTATGTAACAAATAGCAAAAACAATATCTATTCAAACTTATAAATATATTTTGTGTATTCATAAAACATTAGCTAAATTTATTCTTTGCACAATAAGAGCCATGAGGACTTCAGGTCTAAATACAGTGATCATTTGAGAATTTTATTCATGATTGAAACTTAGCCATGATTTGGCCATTGCTGTGTACTCTTATATATGTATTGGATTTACATTTATCCATATTTGATTTTTTTTCAAGTATTGGAGTATATGCATCGACATACAATTCTAAATGAAGCATAAAAAAATCCAGCTGACACTCATTATGGAAGCTTTGTTAATTCTGGAAGTGGGGCCTGTGGGCATATGCAGTCAAAAGAATAGAAGCAGGGAAACAAAAGATATAAAGAAAGGAAAGGGAGAAGATTGCTTATTATATCTCAATAGAGACACAAGTTAAAAAAATGTTTTTTCTATTTGTTTTAGAGATCGGTTATTCAGCTTAATGTCAGTTACTGTGACCAGTGTTATCAATGGGCCAGGTGCAATGCGGGGTGCAAAGTCTCTTTCTGCATCCATGTGCGAGGCATAGTGCGATACGCGTGCCCGAGTGAAGCGAAGCGCACACCACACACATAATTCTTCAAGATGGGTAATCACGCACAAAGAGCACGTTTATGTATTTTCACATAAAAATATGTCAAGATAAATAATATCTATGAAATCACAAATTAAGGTCTTAAGTTCTAATGCTAACACATCCAACATAGAGGGAAGTTCATAAATTTTCAAATCAAAAGTCAAATAAGACTAATATTTTGAAGCAAAACTTATGGTCCACAATCAAGCTACTATACAGGCCTGACAAATTTATTTTGCTTTTTGGATATGGGTTCTCGGGTATAAAGACCAGATTGAAAAGTTAAAGAACAAAACCATATGAGGATATGCCTAGCATCCGCCCTTCGTGAGGCACATGTCACTTGCGAGGCGCAAAAGACATTGTTGCGTCAAATGTGGGGCGCTTCGCCATTGCCCAGCACCACAAGGCTCACGAGACGCAGTGAAGCGTGCACTTTTGAAAACACTAATTGTGACCTCTATACACACACACACACACACACACAATCACATTTATCTTTTTATTTAGAGTAATTATAAAAAGAGTAATTTTTTTCAATCACATTTATTTGCACTGCTATGAAATTCTTTCATCTATCGCATGACTGGATGGTGAAATTTATGCATTTTATATGAGAAGATCATTACCTCTTATTGATGCACCACCCGTGCGAACACGAGCATAACACTTGCTTAAGTTATAAGTTCCAAACTTCATTTGTAAATACCTGATGCTTGTCTATCCTTGTTGCATTTTTTTGTTTCCCACACAGGTAAGCTAATATGATTGCTTAACTGACATCATGGGAAGACAACAATGAGTTCAATCTAAACTCTTTAACTGTTATCCATGGAAGTTCCTTCTTTTAGGATGTGAATGTGATCATGTTTTATTCACAATTCATAATGTACTATGACGACAATGCATCTAGTCATTACGTTCTTACCTTTGCAACAGTAAGGCCAATAGGACAAGGCCTGTGTGGAGATCTTGTCGCAAAGACTCCCATCTTCCCACCTTTTAACCTAGGCACTCTCACCTTTACAAAACAAAAGAAAACACAAACAACTCTACTTAAATGATGCTATAATTTCACAAGCAATAGAATTATAGAATCACACCTTTGCCTTGAATTTCGACCGAGATGGTTGTTTCCAATACTTCTCAAGGTTAGTGTTCAGATGAAATACATAAAGAATCCAACAATGGGAGTATCCAGAAAGGCCTTCTAAAGCTTCTGCAGGAACCCGACTCGGGTCAAGCACCAAGCATGCCCTCGAAAGGGGTACAAGCAAAGGTTGCCTCGGTGTCCCATTTCTGCAAATAGAGACGAGTCAAGGGATCTTTCACATAAACAGAAAAAAGAAAACTTTAATCTTTAAAAAAAAAGTCTAAAGCTATAATACCTAGTAGAAAAACACGACTGAGCAACGCCAATTGGAGCCATGGGATAAGAAGAACAAGAACCAGGTTTCGACCCATCAGAGCTACGCAAAGCTAAAGCTTCCCTCAGCTCCTGAGCCAACCAATCAACAATTGCAAGCAAACCCAATTGATATCTAAGCTTTCCATAGTAAAGAAAAGGTTTTCCTTAGTTCCCTTAAACGATTTAGACTGCTATTTAGTCCCTCAATTCATGTAAGGTACTTCAAACTAGTCCCCGTGATAAACTGCCATGTAGATTGAAGGGAATGTTAAATTAAAATTTAACTTTTTCGATTCCTAGCTACACCCATTCTCTAAGTTTACACGAACCGAGGGACTAAATAGCAATTTCAACGATATAGAGGACCAATTTTAAAGTGCAAAATATTTAGAGGATTACCATCTAAAAAACCATAGAAAATAGACTTTATGCACCTTTTGAGCTCTAACTCGGCCACGCCTCTCAGAGGCAGCCTTCTCTATAGAAGCGCCGAGAGAGTCCTCCAGCTCGCGTACACGAGAAGCTAATCGCTCGCATTTTCGCCTGCGAGAAGAAACTGGACGGTGGAGGGTTTTAGGGTTTTAAAAAAAAAGGCTTTGCGGGGCTCGTAGGGTTTATTGGGCTTTTCGAGGGGGTTTACCTGAAAAGATTGCAGCAGCGATGGAGATGGCGGCGGCTGAGATGGCGAAGGCGGTGACGCTCACCCAACTCTTGCCGTCGACGGTGGCCATCGGCGACGAGAAAGGAACGGGATGACGAGGAGATTTTCGTTTTTTGTGAGTGATTCATGCGAGCGAGGGGTAGGGGTAGGAACTTTCGAGTGGACGTTGGTTTGGGTTTGAAATTAGATCAGGCTGGCCCAATTCTCAATGGGCCGCCCAAAAGTTGATCCCTTGGGCATTCAGAGAGCCCAAAATAGACAAACTTAAATCCGTACATGAATATGGAGTGTCCTCTACAATGAATGAGTAGGGCATTATCACATTAGTGTGAAAATGTTTCAATCAATTATACGAAGCGGGCAATAATCTAAATTGGTCCAAGTGGGCATTTTGCATAAAAGAAGGACGTTTATAGGGTTACATGGCTTAAGAAGGTAGTGGATAATGTGAAAAGAGCCTTCATGTCTTATAATAAGCTTCTAATTAAATTTTAAAGCTCATCTCACACATCGTTTTAAATATTTTATCTAATATTTAGAAGTTAATTACTAAAAGTTCTGAATTTGTTCTAGTCTACACCTTTTGAAGGTGCCATTTGAAGGTTTCCCAAATCAACTAACCCCCACAAGGAGACCGTACATCCTTCTTGATAACTGCTTCCAACCAAGTTCTCATGGGTCCGCCTCTTTACTTAATTACCTTCGCCTCATTAGTTGTAAAACTAAATCATGTAAGAAGGCATACCGACGATAACAAAATAAAGCAAATATCATGTGTATCATGGCTATGATGGTAAATTTCGCTTAGGCCCTGGCTATCTGATTTCAAAAAGGGCATGAACTGAACAAGAACAATGAGAACCGAATCATGTACACGAGCTCAACTCAACAGTATTGAGTGCCTAAACCGATTGGAAATCACGAAACAAGGTGTCGGCATACACGCACCAGGCTTTTCACTACTACATGTTACCTTTACCCACCATAGAATTTGACCAACACCACACACAATAATGTTCTCGTTATCAAATATTTCACTGCGAACCTAATTGCGAGGTGAAAAAGATTACTTATAATGGTGAAAAGTTTGCCTTTGCAAAGATTGAGTGCATCCCAAAAAGCATTCCCCTTTCAAGATACTTAAAATAGGCTATCGTCACCTTTGGTTTCAAAAGACACATTTTACACCTGAGGCAATGGCCTACACTAGAGGAACAGTGGAGTGCAAGAAAGGTGAATTTTACAAGTTTTAAGAAAGTGGTGCATAATTTGAAGAGAGACTTTTTGTCTTAAAGTCCTTCAAGATTCAAAAGCCGCTAAAAGATCCAAACCAATTCTATTAACCTTCAAATCTATCATTCAAAAAGCCCTCACAAACATTTTTGGTGGATATACGGCCACACTTCATCCATACAAAGTCAGAGATAATGAACGTGTAAATTTGTTTTAATGCATGTCGATATCGTAGCATACTCACAATGATTATGTGCATGGTTTGCTCTTTTTTTCATACCAAAGAGACTTAAAACTCAAAGAAATTTCAAATGTTCATTGAAGTAGACACAGATTGATCCAGAAAAAAACTATATCTCAAACAAATAAAATTAATCTGATCTTTAAAGTATTTGCCTCATAAAATAGCGCATGATAAAGATATTCCAAGGCTCATGTGTATAAAGGGCCAATGTATCTGGGGCATTTCCTCTGGTCTGGCCGAATGCCTTACGGGGCTTCCTCAGCCCTTAAATAAAAAGGAAAAATTTTCCACTTCCCCCAAAAGGCCCCTCTTATTTATATGGGAAAATGGAATAACTTAATAGAGTAAATAAATGCAACGTAAGAGTAGTCTCCATGTGACCTGAAGATCACGGACTCGAGTTGTGGAAACAACCTCTTGTAAAGATGTAAGGAAAGAATGTATCCTGGACCCCGTGCATAGCAGGAGCTTCGTGCATCGGGCTACCCTGTTTTCTATTACTTAAATTCTATGGCTTAGCTTGCACTAGCTGCTTGCAATCTTCGCAATCCCAGAGTAAGTTCCCAGCACTGCACTAGTGATGCCCAATGAAATAATGATAATGCACAAAACGACCTAAAAGACATAAATAAAAAAAATTAATGAAGCACCATAACAAAAATTTAAGTTGTTATCAAGTTCTCAAATACATAAATGTAAGGCATTGCTACCTGCGAAGTGGTAGCTTTCCTCCCCACTATCTTTAGGAAGCAGACGGCTGGAATAATGACTGCCTGAAGAAAAAAGATGACAGGCACAAAACTAAACTTTTATCAATTCTCTTCCATGATTTGATATAGTTTCATGAGAAAATCTCAATTAATGCGTGAAAATTACAATGAATAAAGATTTTATGAAATACCAGGAAAAGATGGAAGAACAAGCACAATAACTTGTGTCATTCACAAAATGATTATTGAAGCCATGCTGCAGTCTTAATACTATTAGATTGTTGTTTTCATGCTAGTATATTCACTGTTCCTATCATTTTATTTGACAGAAATAATTACCATAAAGAAATTCTTCGTCTATTTGTTCAGACTTCTTAACAGACGGACTTCTTTTATCCATAAGAGTTATTCTAGAGTTGGACTACAAACAATGTCAGTATAGGGTAATAGTAACGTTTCAAAAAGCCAAAGCATAAAGTGGAAAAAGAAAGAAAAAGAAAAAGAAAAAAAAGGACGCTGAAGCTTCATAGCATATGTTTCAAGAACTGATGTTTTTTTAACTCCAAAAGATATGTTCTGTGTATAAATTATGTATGAAGGAGGGTATGAGATAAGGAGTGTCAAATAGGGCTATGAAGGCAAAGAAAAGGGAAAAAAGCAAAAAAAAAAAACTCTCCACCCTTTGATTGGATGATCGGCATCATCCACTTCAAGCCTAGATTAAAAAAATCGTCATTTTGATGTCATTTGACCTTTTATCAGATGATTGTAAAATTAAAAGTTTCACTGGAACTAGAGAATTTTCGCATCTAAATCCATGAGGAAAGTAATGGACATATGGCGTCATAAAAGGACTTTTTCCATATGGTGGCAAAAAGGCAACTCTTCAGTTCACATATTTCTATATAAAAACTCAAACATCCAAGAATATTAGTGATACTTTCTAAGCTCCCAATGGTTAAACCAGAATGAGTTTGAGTTGGTGATGAGGAATAAAATATTGTCTACATAGACATGCAGTATATGATATATGTGTATAAACTATAAAACACCCATGTGATAAACAAATAGCAAATCATGCCGAGCCTTTGCACTCAAATAAGAAAGAAAGAAAAAACCTTCTCAACTAGAATCATCCTCTAATTGGTATCAGATGAAAATGTAGGACTTTCGTAATAGCATATAGGCATATAGGCTAAATTAGAGCAAATTCTCCTTTGACTAGTGTATTTTCATCTCCAATGGTTTGTGAATGAATTCTAACTTGATTGGAGTGAATTTTCCAACAATTTATTTATATCGTACCAAATTCCCACTATCGTAACTCAATCTTTCCTAGCTACTTTCCCTTTCAAATTTCTTCTAAAACATTATCTAATTGCAAAAACACCAAGATAAATAAAGAAACCCACCTCCAAGGCTTAATCTAGCACACAGATCACAATAAGGTCACCATAAGCTAACTAGTCACCTTGTTAAACTGATTTTCTCATCTATAGATTCCTTGCATGCATTTTTTAAGCCTTTGATAGCTTCAATTTTGCCACTCATTAGAGCTAAACCTCTTCTCAGTGATTGTATTTCGACATGTTCAACCAACAAAGTCCATAATTTTTATGATGGTTACAGACAAATTTTCTAATTACACAATTTGTTGATTTTAATTCACTCAAGTCTAGGATCGAATTTGTTATGCTGGTCTTCAATGGTTTTTTCATGAACAACTAGTGTGTATTGTGTAGGCATAATGTTTTTGCCATTGTGATAAGTATGAACACATGTGAGACACAAGCAAGATACCCACTTGACAAACAACATTGTTTAATCTTGGTCCTAGCAAACTCCCAATTTACAGACTTAAAAGTTTTCTTAGCTGTATATTATATAGTTTCTGCCTTTCTTTACAAATGGAGAAACTAGAAACTATACGCCTACATCACAGCATTTTTGGATTATTTGCATATATACCCATTAAATCATGGGTATTTGACAAAATACCTTCCAAGTCTCAGTATTTCCAAAACTACCCCCCACATTATCAATTTTCGAAAAAAAATTACCCTCAAAGCAATTAATCATCAACTTTGATAAGCTAATTTGTAATCGCAATGTAAAAATTATCAACAAAATAGTCAAAATTTTAGCACTAAGTTGAGGATTTGTTGATTTTAGGGGTATTTTTCCCTAATGTTGATGATTTAGGGGTAGTTTTGCAAATAATAAGATTTGGGGGTTATTTTTGCGAATACCCATGATGTAAGGGGTATATGTGCAAATAACCCAATTTTCTCAACTTTATTTGCAGTAACTGACAACAGAATGTACATCTAAAGTGAACAGAAAGATAATACTTCCTAAAAGCAGACATATATCTAATATGTTCTCTAAAGCAAATATAACTAAAATCTAAACCCAAGTCTATCAGGTAAAAAACAGGGATTTCTATCACATATATAAGCCATACTTGAACATTCTGTAAGATTCTCAAACTTAATTAAACATAATATTTTCCCATAACAAGCATTTGATAATGGAGTAAAATTAGCTCTATGAGGACACATAAAGAATATACCAAAAGAATACTGAGGAGAGAACCGATCAAAGACATTACAATACCTGCATGAGGAAAACATATGTAATGAATTTTAGCTGATGCAGGATACAATTTAGGAGGAGAATAATTAACAATATATTATTGAGAATACAAATCCAATCAAGACAATTCCCATGCACAACTTGTTCTCCTGATAACCCAAAAGCACGCTACAAGAGGTATATACTATAATAGTAATATATGGAACCTACATTTTTAAGGGTAAATATCAAAACTAACACAGATTATTATAAGCTTCGTATAAAATATCATAAAGACATAAACAAATGTTATCAGAGAAATGCCTCAAAATGGATGAGTTTTGTTTTTACTATAACTATCATACTGCTTCTTTTTGCAATTTACCTAGCTGAGTTAATTAAACCGTAAATGCAATATAATGTTTAACAAAGATTAAAAGATAAGTAATTAATATTTTAACTATAAATCGATTACAAACTGGTCATGATACAAATTCTGCATGTCTCCAAACAAGAAAGAGGGAATACTGAGACAATATAGCTTTCTGGATTATATCTATTCTTCATTATTACACAATATTTGTCTAGACTTATCCTAACTCTATTTCCATCTAAGCCAGGGGAATTTAGAATAGCACCTTCTGATCTGCATCAGCTCAAAGTATATAATTAACAAAAATATCCAGCCCACTTCCAGAAGTGGTAATCGAAGAAAGTGTAGAAGTTAATTATATTGTTCTTGTACTATAACAACCTGCATGACACGTGTATTTTTTTTATTTGATACATTGGATAATACTTCAGATAGTTAAGAACATGCACGCACATACGCACACAATATGATACACATGTTCATGAATGACATCCATATATCCACTTAGCTCTTTATTCCTGTGAATACACAGTGTATATCATAATTCTAATTCTGTATACTGCATCTTTGGCTTACATCACAGAGAATAGGTTCAGTTCAATAAAGAATTAAAACCACCATATCCATAAACAAAAGCTACATTGTAATGGTATGCAACAAAATTTGTATAATTATTTATTCATGCGTCACGATGAAAAACAAAACGATATTTACTAAAATACATACCAAAAAATGGTAGAAGAAAAGCGGCGCACACAGTTGAAATGACTAAGGAAGTTCTTAATATGATGGAGCACCAGAGAGTACTTGACGTCTCAACAGGAAGCAGTTCTTCTAAACTCCTGGCCAAGGGATTTAACAATAATGGATATCTGTTTTCAGTTAAAGATACAAAAGCTTAAGGAGGCTTTAGGAAACAGCCAACTAATGATGCAAAATCTAAGGATGACTTATGTATCAAAGAGGATAAGCTAAGAAAGAAAAGGGGAAAAAACATAAGAGAAAGAATCATCGTGTTATTCATGAAAAAAAGGAACAGTGTGTCTTCAATGCCAAAGGATACTTGGTGAAAGGATTGATTACCTGATAGCAAATGTAGAAAGAGGTTCAGTAGAAAATGAAGTCCTAGTAAAGGGGAAAAAAGAACAGTAGTGATAAAATACTTACAGTGGTCCACAAAGCAAGTTTTGAGGGAAGAGGATCCTTTGGCAAATTCAAAGTTATTTGAGACAATGTACCTTCTCCAAACATGCGATATCCAATAATTGCAAAACTTCCATATATTGCAGTGCATAAAGCGAAACTGTTTCCAATAGAAAAAAAAATTACAATTTTCAGGATAAATTTAAGAAATAGGGAACCAAGTTTAACCAAAACTTTATAGCTTATCCCAACAATGTTAGGTGGCCATACCATATTACCAATGCCTTGTTAAATTTTGTTTTGTCAGCCATTGATTTGTAAATATTAGGGAACACTGAATGCCCGGAGAAGCAAAAACCCCATATCCCAATTGCAAAGGGAAGACCATTCCAATTCACTACTTTCCCAGTCTGATGGAACCCTATTCCTCTTGTTGTACCAACAAGAGACACATTAAGGAAAACCAAAAACAAAGAAAATACACCACCAGCTGCGGGAGAAAAAGAAAATAAAGAAATAAATCAGACCATTTATATCTGTATAACGTTAACAAAGCAAACCACAGTACGAAAGTGATTCATAAAACCTGAAAGGAACGAGATTACTCGCAAATCACGCAGCCAAACGGTTGGCAATACGATCAAAGCAGTTAATATTCCAAAGAGGTGCAAAGAATCAATATGAATCCCAGCCAAATCAATAGCAGCTCCAGGAAATAACTTTTTAAGGTTATCACCTTCCAATATAATAAACTCGACGCAATATGCCTGCATTCATGAGTAGTGAATTACGTGAATTTTCCAAAAAGTCTATCGATCAGGCAACAAATAGGCCAGTCCATTCTCCAGGTTCAGGGTCAGCGAAAACTTACATATAACTCTGTGTACAATACTACCTGTGTCATGAAGGTAATTAAATTAGCCTTTTGTTTGAAATCAATGTACATCTCAAAAACTCTTAAAATATTGAAGATTGGTGGAGGATTAGAGAAAATTATAAGCTTATGCTCGTTGAACAAGTGCCTATTCATGCGATCACAGATAAGTAACTAAAATATAAATGATGTTTGAGATTGTTTGCATAGTAGTGTAAGTTGGCAGGTGTAGGAATGCAGTCCAACTGAGCATGAATCAATAAAAGCAATGTAAAACCCTAAAAATTTGAGAAAATAATTTTAAATAAGTTTTATTATGATTGGTGATCATTCTGGGATGAATGGATCAGATTGGAATCAATTTGAGATCGATTCGCAGTTTCAGCTTCGGTGTCGCAAGTGTGCTGAAATCTGCTGTATTTGTATTTTTAATAATTTTTATGTTGACCAGATGGGCGTGAGGTTTGTCATTGATCTTAGAATGTCGAGACGATGATGTAGGTAAAGTTTCGTTGTGTTCTGACAACGGAGACTGAAACCCTTTTTTTTAATAATAATATAAATATTTATATTCGTATATATATAGTTATCTCTTTCTCTCTCTCCCCTCTTCTTTCTCTCTCACGTAAAACATCAGCCGCACCCACCCTCAAAAACCCTAGAAATTTTTTGATTGAATTTGAAGAAACTTTGTGAAGCAAAGTTGTAGAGGAAGACGAGATCAACAACTTTTGTGAAGGGGTTTCGTACGAATCAATCGTTTGGGGGATCAAAAACACTCCTAAAGGCAAGTTCATCTTTTTCTCAACTCATCCCCTTTTAATTCGAATTTTGACAGATTAAACCTGAAATTTGTGAATAGAACTATAGATCTAATCATTAAGTAATAAAAATATATGATCTTGATCATTAGAACTATAATTATCCGTTAATTTATGAATTTATTTGGATTAAAGCCCTAATTAATCAATTAAATGTGATTATTGATAAATAGGAAAATTAAACCCTAAAATTACTAATTTTATGTGATATATAATTGTTTGGCCAAGTCCTCACTTAGATTAATACAGGATCTAAAGATGATTCACACCCCATGTTGATAAAAATACGAATTTTGATAAAAAAAATTATTAACAAAGAAAAGTGGAAAATTTTGTATCAATGTCCGGTCGGTAGACCAATCTTATTGATCAGTCGAAGGGAGTGGCGATGCCATACGCAAAAAGGAAGAGACTCATAGAATGGCAGAGGCAAATAGAGCTTTTGCATGCAAGATTTGGAAATTTTCTCTAGTCGGTCGACTGACCCGTAGATTAGTCGACCGATAGAGGGCTCACAGGGATTGCCATATTCTCTGGTCCATAGATCAGTCGACCGATAGGGGATTTACAGGATTTGTGATTTTTCTCTGGACAGTCGACTGATAGGCAATCGGTCGACCGATCAAGACTGGGTGAATTTTTGAACTGCTTGTTGGGCGGTCGATTGATGTGACATCAGCCGACTGGTAGAGCGTCGGTCGACCAATCCCAAGGACGAGTCAACCGATTTGAGGCTGGTCGCGTACATGATTCTTCCACGCACGTTTGGTCGTGAACATGAAGTACGGGCCCGCACGTAGATACACGTGTGGCCATGTTAGTGTACATGTTGAGTTTAGGTACGCACGAATCCTCAGGAGTGCGTGGCCATGTGTTGAGCTTGTTGCGACATAGGGGAGACAACTAACAAGATGCATAAGTCAGCGTCAAATGTTTGCATGGATGGCCAAGATAGGTTGTGAGCCGCACGAGATTGCGATGAACCACGGGATACTGCGAGTACCTATGCTCCGCATCATACTTCCACATAGATGTCCAAGTCAGGTTGTGAGCCGTATGGTACTGTGATGAGCCACAGGATACTGTGAGCACCGAGAATCCATATTTCTTTGTTTGCATGTGCTCTGGATTAGGCTGTTATGCCTATACTCCACTTGGTGTCCGAGCCAGGTAGTAAGCCGCATGATATTACGATGAGCCATAGGATATTGTGAGCACATATACTTCACACCATTTTCGTTAAAGGGAATTACACATGAATATGTATTTGCTCCTGTAACACCTACCCTGAGGGCAGTGTATTATATTATGATTGACATTCATATCATGTTTTGGATGAGATTTTTGGTGACGTTTTGTTTTATTATCTGTTTATGGTATCTTGGGAGTTAATGTTTAGCGATTCACAATTTGAGATACATGATATATATATATATATATATGAGGGTTTTCTTGTTTTGATTATTCTCTCGACGTACTCATCTCGTGTTGTGGGTTTCTAAATCTTGACTCCTCTTAGTACAAGGTAAATGATATAGGTAGATTATGCGTATTATAGGTAGAGCCTCCATTATATGCGTTAGCCTTTCCCCTGAGGGAGGACAGAGATGTTCTTGCTAGCGTTTTGACGCTGTTGTTTTCACATCTTTTCAGGTATGGGTCAGAGTTTCGAAGAGTCGTAGGTTGACATGGATTCAGCATAGTCACCGTCATTCATAGGTAGCTAGTTGGTGCTCCACAGTGGACTATTTATGATTTTAGTTTTCTTTTAGAGATGCATTTTATTTTGGAGGCTGAGTGTCTTTGTACTTTTTAGTTGACTCTTATGTATTAGAGATTCGATGTTCTTTTTCCAGTTTATTAGATGTATTTTCTTTTCTTCTGTTAGAACATAATTATAGTTATTATTGGATATCTCTCCTTTATATTGTGTTCCTTGTATTGTCACCTTTGATATATCTGCTTGTACCCTCATTTTTTTTTGACATTTGCTAGAGTGATATTAATGTGATGGTGAAACATGTTTATGCACAATGTTGGGTGCATGACAGGTTTGACATCTTTAGGTTCACCTTAGATTGTAGCCTTATGAGAAACCAGGGGCGTCTCAAGCAAATACGTTTATTCATATTCTACTGTCCATTTTTGCCAATGACAGCTCACCTAAAATAAGTTACCATGCTGTACTTGCTGCAATAAGTTATAGATTACTTATACCATTTAGTATTCTTAGACAACAAGAACTCACTGATACGAAAAGGCGGCCAAATCTCCCATATGCAGCTTCTCCAATATCAGGATAGCTTGAAATGCCTTCTCTGCTCTCAAAGCAGTACCTCATTAGAACGCCTGTATAACAACAAATAATTGCAAAAAGAACCAGGAGTGCCAAACTCAACCAACCAGCCTCTTTAACTGTGAAAGGTGTTGATAGTATACCAACCCCTGCAAGTACATTGACTCCTGTTTCACAACAATTAAACGAGAAAACAATTTAAAAGTTGTAAAATGCATAGATTTATGAACAAATAATAGCATCGACATAAGTATATATAACAAAATTTTAGATGATGAATAGCAAGAATGCCAGAAAAATATGAGCAACACTTGAACTCCCAATCTCCATTGCATAGTGACAAGTCCTTGACGATATATATAGCAAGGCATGATCGTAAGCAATTATAATATTTTACCGCAATAGACTAATGAATCAGGTTGTGGGTTTGAACTTATGTGGCAGGATAATTTCTCTTCAAGACTTAGTAAAGCTCAAAATTGTTTAGCTTCTATAGTTATCATCTCTACCATCTGCGTTAGATGTTTGATTTAAGCTTAGTACATTCTTGATCGCCCCTCAATACTGGAAACCTTAAGAAAATAATATTCAATATAGAAATGACAGTTAACAAGATGACGTTACCGTTAAAAACAGTCTGAGTGATGCTACATCCATGAGAAATATGTCCTCCCTTATATTTGATTGATCCGCTTGACAATGAAGTCAGAGGCTTCTGCAAGTTTTCACCTAGTTCTTGATTTTCATATATACCATCAGAAAGAAGAGGTGATTTCAGATTTAGATCTTGCTCATTTTGCATGCAGGAGCCAATACTCGGCGTGAGACTTGATTTACGCCGAAGGAACCCAAAGCTTGGCGATGCAGCAATAGTGTAGGAATCAATAGTTTCCCTGTAAGAAGAAAACGTAGTATGCATCATCAGAAAATTACCGTATCCAAGATAAGGGCAAGAAGATGTGTCCATGCAAACATTGGTTCATGACCAGTCCAACAACCCCAGCAAAATATGATACATCCGTAAAAGTTCATGTAGCTCAGCAGAGCACATAAAAACTCCTGGACAAGCTTAGGACTGATTTGAACACAATTGACAAGATTTCCACACATAAAAACCTTTTCAACTTCCATTCATCCTATGCAATTGAGACACCTCTCAGACTCATAGCCCTAATTAACCAAAAAAAAAAAACAAATTTCATACATGAAGTTTTTTTAAAAAAAAACTAGAAAACTAGTTACGTACTCGAGAACTAGAATCAACATTGAAAAGTCAACTAGGGGCCAACCCACTTGATATCTACAATTTCATCAGCTGTCTAAGCCCTCTATTAAGTTTCTAATTGCTCACTTCTTTTCTGTAAAATTTAATAATTAAACAAAACCTTTTGAGTTCCCCTTCTTCCTGAATCCTAGGGGAAAACTTTAAGAAAATGAACTCTCCTCACTTTTCAATAATTAAATGAACTATCCTCAGCGTATATGAGATTGAAGAGGATCCCCAACTACAAACACAAAAGAGTCAGAAAAGGATCCTCGGCGTACACGAGATCGAAAAGGCTTACTTGAAGCTCTGAGGCCATTGACGAGATCGAAATGGCCGAAGGTTCTCGTCATCCTCCGCCGCCTCACGATCGTCGTCGTCGTCGCCGTCGTCGCTGCTCCTTCGATCTTTTTCAAGATCGTCGTCGGTTTCGTCGCTCAAATAGAGCTCTCCGTCCTCTTGATCAGCCATTATTATTATCAGAATCAGAATGAGAATCAGAAAGAAGGGGAAAAAAAACACCCTAGAAAATAATAACGTTAAAAACGGGAGAGAGAGTTTTGTAGCGGTGAGATCACTTAAAGTGAAGACAAGCAATTTCTGCGGCGGCGGAGGTCGAAGGGTCTATTCGAAAACTGGGGATATTTTGTAACTTATATAGCAACTATTTATTTATTTATTGCAGAGCAAATATTCATGCGCACCAAGCTTAGTACAGAAGATAATGACATGGTGCATGACGAGAACCGCAGCCTTTGTCGGAAAATAATGAACAACTTTTCAAAACAGACTCTTTTAGAGTTTTATTTTTTAAAATCGACCGGTTTTTTTTATTTATCAAAACCGACCTGATTTTATGATTAACAGCCTAATCACCATCCTAAATAGTCGGGGACCGGGTTGACAACCCCGACTATTTAGGAGGGTATTAAACCCTGATTAGATACCTTAAACACAAAAAATTAAGGTACTAAATAGTCGGGGTTGCCAACCCCGACTATTTAGAAAGGTGATTAGCCGGTTAATCATAAAATCGGGTCGGTTTTGATAAATAAATAAAAAACCGGTCGATTTTGAAAAATAAAACTCTAAATTGGGTTGTTTTGAAAATTCGTTCGAAAATAATTATACTCTTTGCAAAATAAAAATTGGGGGATAACAGGATCTAGCTGTCAAAGTTTGGAAATGTTCTTGAGATGCAATCAGAGCGGAAATTAGTAATTTGATATATCGTTGTTCAACTCGGTATCAAATAATAGAGCAAAGATTAAGAAAGGAGGCGTGTGTATCGTTGTGATATGCCATGAACTATATGCATCTTGTGCTGTCGTATTCAACAATTCGATTTTTCACTATTATCGAATGAGTTGTTCAACATGCAATGTAAAAATATAGGTATGAGCTATATAAACAGATTTGACTGTTTGAGATAAATCTTGCTCAAAACAAAGAGATGGTTAACATTTGTCCACAATCACATCGAAATATGATTTTGTCACGAGAGTCCCAGGTTACGCAAAATCCCGACACCATTAAAAATGTGCAAGAATGGAAAGAACAAAAGGTAAATACCCATTTCGGCGTTTTATGAGAGGATTTTATGATTCCCTGTTTTTCTTATGTGGCGAGACATTTCCAAGCTCGGTATCTAGAAAACATATTGCCAACCAAACATGTGAGACATATTTGTTAGGGAAAAAAAAATTCCAATGTGGCAACGTTGTCAGAACATGAAAAATTGATTTTTGAGTTATTTCTACGAACCAAACAGACCCCTAACCGTCGAGAATGTCAAAAACATTTCGCTGTCAGGAATGGATGGGCCCCACTGACAAAATCGGGGGGAACTCCACCCTAACTATTTTGTGCCTATTTGGTTGTTTTATGTAAAAACGCGCAATAGCTACATTGATAGGGAAATGAATGGTCCGGCTGTATCTGACAGCCACAGTAATTTCTATTTCACTATTTTTTTGCTGAAAAATACTGAGGGGCTGCCAACTCAGTTACAGTATCACAAACTCAACTACAGTAACCATAGTTATTTTGAGCTAGCTAAACAGAAGAATTGGGTGTAATGTTGTAGCACCTCACATCTACTGTATTACACCCCCACAAAATTGACAAAACAAACACTTTCCAAACTATTTCGCGAGTGAACCTTCAAACCCCGAATTAACCCCTTCTGATCACCACCTTCGCTGAGCCGCTATCGTCATCTCTACGACTCCGTCGCCTAAACCCTAACTCTCCTCTCAAAACCCTAGCCATAATTTCAACATATCTGACTCCGTCGCCAAATCGCTCGTCGCCGGCCCGCGCCATCAACTCCACCTCCATCTCCGGTACCGTGCCTCCTACTACTCACGCCACCGCCTACGTGTAAGCACTGTGTCCTCCTCCCTCAACGCCCTAACCCTAATTTTCTCCTTTTACAGCAAATTTGCTGCCTCCTCCTCCTCTTCAGACTTCCACGGCCGCTGCGTCCTCCGCCTCCTTCAGCTGACAATTTAAGGTAGTGTCTGGAATTTTTTGTTAATTTTCTGGAAGTTTTGGTTGTTTTCTGCAATTGTTGGGTATTTAATGAAATTCGTGGGTATCTTCTCAAATCAAATGCAATTCGTAATGTTCCGTATTTATGTAATATTGTATGTTTGCGTACTTTCTGGAATTGTTGGGTATTTTAGGGTAATTTTCTGAATTTTAGGGTGATTTGTGGAATTGTTTGGGTATCTTCTGAATTGTTTGGGTATTCTGTGAAATTTAATGCAAGTTGTGTTGCATATTGTGATATATATTTTTTCGAAAATATCTTAAAACCTAATTACCCTTAGTGCGATATATAACACAATAGTGTGTTATATATCCAATTTAGTTGAATTAAAAATAGTCAATGTCAGCTGTAGATTCCCATCCGATAATTACTATCAATTCTTTGAACTTCTAATAATAAGATATACGACTCAGTTTGGGTATCTATCCAAAAAGGATTGTGTACTTTATATTAGAAGTAAAAAAGAATTGGCATTGAAATTTATAATTATTGGATTTGCCCGAGAAGGAGCCCTCTTCTCGAACAAGTTAGGAATATAGTAGTGTATCGTCTATCTTTGTGTACTTCGTGTTTTCATTTCTAGAAATTTTTGGTGGCATGTACTTATTGTTCTCCGTGTACGATAAGTGTATGTTGTTTTGCGTTTCGATCCATTGCCAATATGCATAATAACATCGAAGAACGAGTAAGTGTTACTGACATTTTCTAGAAATGAAAACGCCCAAAATATGCATGCACTAGGCCTGAGCATTCGGTCAGTCTGGTCGAATTTCGACCAAAAATTTGACAACCAAATTGCACCGACCCTCTAAAGAAAACCGAATTGTACCGAAGTGATGCGGTTCGGTTTGGTGCGGTCGGTTTACACTAGGAAAGTTGGGAACTTATCCACAATAACCAGCTAGCTGCTTGCTGAGAATATATTATGTAAGAATGCTCAAATAAATGAAAGGATCTGTTTGTCTTGAATCAAAATAATAGTGTTTCTTCCCTGTAGATTCGTATTTCATCCTTAACGAAAAACAACGATAAATTATCAACTTAGTGCACTCTTGATCATCTGATGATATGAAGGTCTTTTCATTGCATGAGATTTATGAGAATAAAAGTAATCACAAAAACAGAATATCTGTACAAGATCAATGTTCATAGTCCACAAATTAATAGTAGCAATATTGGAGGCCTTCGGGTCCAAGCTGAACCCATGCCTTGCGAACAGGTGAATGTTTGAGATCATGAAGCAGATGCTCTTCCATCCGCTGCAAATTTATGAAGAGAAAGAGGTGAAAGAAAGTGAACTACTGTATAAGGACAATAGAGGAATAGATTATTTAGAAGAAGAGTTGGGTAATGCTTTTCTTTGGATAGAAGAGGAAGGTAAATGGATCACTTTTCTTTTGTTATTTCATAAACAAATAAAGAAGGCGACAGCTTGTAATTGATTGGGAACCAACGTCATGTGGAGGCGCTAATGTAGGAGTCGGTCGGTTCGGGTGAACACCGATATAAAAAGTTTAACCGATCAAAACCAGCTTCACTATGGAAACCGAACCGAATTGCACCAAGTTGGACGGTGTTGTTCAGTTATAATCGTAGTTTGCTCAGCCTTAGCATGCACTACTATATTCTTAACGGAATAGAAGCCTTTCCTAGGATGACCAAGAAAGTGTTCAAATCAATCTTATTTATAAATTATTGATGTGTGTGTGCTTTTAGGAGTCATCACTTAACATTGCCTAAATGTCCATAAAAAAACAAGGTTAACTTATGCACTATTTTGTTAATTAAAAGTTATATATATCATGCAGATAAGGATAGTCCCAGACATGTCGTGGATTGATATTCCTTGTAATGAGAGGTACATGGAGAGTCAATATCAAGACAGAATAAATGTCTAAATAGAGTATGCCCGAGGCGAACCCAAGGAATTTAAACATGAAAAACATGTAAGTATGTTGCACACAAAAAATTAGCGCATGCAATTGATATGAGGGGTAGAAAAAAACCAACATGGCAGATTTGAAAGTTAAATTAGCAAATATCTACATCTTAGGGCTCAATTTGCAAATGCAATATATATGAGGGGTGATATATACATGCCAAAGAACCCTTTCTCATCAAGTGCTTGGTGCACGTGGGATGAACATGTAACAAACAAATTACCAAAAAAGTTTAAAAGGTGTCGTATTTCAAGATTGCAACGTAATAACTCGTGAACGATCCGGTTCGGTTTAGTTGTGCTTGGTCTAGTCAACCGAACTGTAGAACCAACCAGTGTTGGGATCGTGAGAGTGTAGGCATCGAAAATTACCTATAGGTCTCTACGAACAGCTTAAAGCTAAGAGAAGACGATGAACGTCACCATCTGGTTCACAGAAGCTTGATTGACGTCGACGAACGCTTGAAGTGAATCGGCAAACTATGTGAAGCAACGGAGTTTCATAATAATAAAGATACGAACTGATCGGGAGCCCCGTGTCACTTACAAAAGACGAAATGCCTTTCGTGTCTCATTTATTTCACAGATGATCTAATCATTGGAGCTTATAGAACTCTTCGTCAGCTTTCCAACGCACTTTGAATCGCTCAAATCCGAGTTCGGACGAAGAAGTTACGGCGAAAATGAACAAGTGTACATAACATGGCGTCTCAGCCTGAATGAGACACCCTGAGGTGTCTCGGCCCACCCGAGACACCCCAGGGTGTCTCGGCCAAGACCGAGACACCCTAGGGTGTCTCGGATCAGTTTGAGACACCCTAGGGTGTCTCCAACCCATTTGAGACGCCCTAGGGTGTCTCCAACGCAGATTTGGGCCCTTATGCGATTTTAACCGCCCGCTATCCCCTCAAGCCTATAAATACAAGCCTTAGGCCTCATTTTTTTGGATCTGGAATTCTCGTGCCTCGACGAAACCCTACCGGATTGAAGATTTAAAGTGCACAGATTTCAGAGAGGAGGAGTTAGATCTGCAGTCCGGTTCGTTCCTTAGGATTATCCCGTTGCGGTAATCTTAAGAAGAGTGATTATCTCGCTTCGCCGAGATAAGAGCTACGGTTTCTCGATCCCTTCGCGGATAGACGAAGTTCTGCCTAATTTTTCAGCAATCAAATCTGATCGACGGTGATCCACGGATAAACCCCGACACAGGCAAAGATCCCACGCAAACAGAAGACCGATAAACGATCTCTGCGTTTGTTTGATGAAGTTGTAAACTTTTTATTTTCATTGTGTAAGGAGATCTTATAAAAAGATTAACTTTTTTATTTTATTCGAGTTTATTGTAACGACTAAAGTTATAATAGATTCGATAACAATGGAAACATCAACTTTCACCGTAAACAAACTGGCGATCACAATGGGAGACAACAGCTTCGCTGCCGAAGCTGTCGTGCCGCAGCCGATGATCAAGATCCCGGTGCTCGAAGAGGTCGAATACGAGTTCGACCAGCAAAAGTTCGAGAACTATGTCTCCTCCTCCTCCTCCAGATCTGCCTCTCCTTGCAGGTGCAGGAAGGCCTCCTCCTCCAGGAAGATTCGCTGGTCTTCAGATCTGAAGACCCAAGAAGACGATCTCTCCGCTGTCGCTGTTGTAGTTACACTTCGCAACGATCCGTCGGCTTCCAAAGAAACCAAATCCAACGTTCGTGACAACTCCTCGAAAGTCAAGGAGTTGCCCGTTGAATGTGCACCAGTGCTGACGAAGAGGGCTCGTCAAAGGCGCCGTCAACATCTCGCGCGTCAATTTACCAAGGCTTTGGAGCCTATTGACGGGATCTGCTATGATGCGGATCTGAAACGCAGAAGGCGCAAAGTGTTCCAGCAACAAGTTTTGGGAACCTCCTCCCAATCACCTACTAACGAATGGGTTCGTGTCAAACGAACCCGTTCAACTCTTGAGGAGCGTATCCACAAGCGCCGCGCACTGCTAGCGCAGACGAGGATCCTTGTACGGAATGCACAGGAGTTACAGAAAGGAAAGGTGATCAAAAAACCACCAAGATCTAAGCATGGTTGGATGCCAAAGGCCAAATTAGCGCCTAAAGCAAAAGCATCCGAGGCTGCTCTCAGGCCTTTGTCAACTCCAGATCCCGTTCCTATTGCTCTCGCACCTCCGGCGAAGCCCTATGACAGCGTGGATCTCCTCAAATCTAGAGTCCCATTGAAGGATTGCATCGGTGCTCTACCCGAGGATCGAGGCAAAGCACCTATTAAAGAATGCTTGGGACCATTGAAACCCCGAGCAAACATCCGGACTGGGGGTCGTACGCAACCTCCTAACAAATTGATTCGAACAACGGTCCGTTTGGCGGTGCGTGCAGAAAACCAGGAGCCCGTTAAGGTTTCACCCTCACAAGGGTGTGATTCCAAACGTGTGACTCCTGTAGATGCCAACAAGGCAATGTTTACTCAGAGGAAAACGCGTCAGACAGACGAACGTGTTATACCTGAGAATCCATGTAAGCAGCCGATAGGTTACTCCGACCGCAACGTCGATGAGTTGTACTATCGGGCTGGGGGTACGAATAAATCTCGAAAGAGAAGTACCCGAAAAGCGGACTCTCACTGTCCGTGTATCAAAATTATCAGGGCAGTATTATCAACGTGTAGCTGCCCCAAGACCGCTCCGCGGAGGGTCTCGGTATTCGAGAGAATCTTCGATGGAACGACGAAGCCCAAATCAAGGCGTTTCCACCAAAGAGGATCGGTTGCTCGAGATGATGAATTCCCAGAAGTTACCATCAACATGGTCAATAAGGGAAAATCTCCGATTGTTTCAAGTGGTTCCAACCCTAATTTCTCTCCAGGAAGAAGAGTCGGTTCGGGAATAACCCAACAAATATCTCAGCTTCAGCTAGAAACCGTTGGACATAATGATTATCAGGGTGTCCATGAAGGAATACATTCCGATGACGAACTCTCGGATTCTTATTCCGCAATCGTCTCTGACGATACAACGTCT